ACACATTAGTCACCGTTTGACCTTGTGTTATTTGCACAGTGAAAATATTGTGTGGTCATAGGGTTGAGAATCGCACGCCGTGTGCTATGTGTACTAGAGTGAAAAATATAAATAAAATTAGGTTAATTAAATTAACGTTGCTAATTATTTTGACAGTGAAGATGTTTTGAATGAATATAGTAAATATTGAAGTGGCTTAAAGATCCCCTTCATAAAACGTTTTAATTTAGAATTATAAAAGATGACATTTTTGAGCAGCTCCCTTATTCATAAAAAAATAATCAATTTACACTCTTTCTTCCCTTTCTGTAAAATTGTGCTTAGCTGAGATAAAAAGGGATAGATGCATTTAAGTTTAAATAGTGCAATTATACAGACTTATTTGTATTAACAACAATAGCGATGTAAAACCAATGTTACCACATTTCTGTGCCTACTTGATAATAAACTTTTATAGTGCTATTAGCTATTTAGCTGATAAAGATAATAATTCGCTATTATGATGCGTTGCTGTTGATTTTTAGATTGAGATTTTAAAAACAATTTCTTATTATTTTTAGTGACTGGTTTTATAAAACTACACAAATTCTTATTTTTAATTCTGTTAGGCTTTCAAAATGTGAATAAAACATTGATCATTTTTAAAACCAGATAAAATCTCTAGGCAAGATGGCGTCGCTCCATTCCTTATGACGTACTGACCATACTAGTAAACACGTAAACAAACGAAAAGTTTTTTTACCTGTTATTTAAGTCATTTAAGTCTTAAATTAATTAATAATAATATTTTATTTTCTTCTATATAACATTTGTAACAAACAATAAGATGTAAGAAGGTATAAATTGCATAAATACACATTATTTTCGATAAAAGCAGTCACCGATGAAAAAAAAATTCTATATTGTATTAGAACTAGTCAGACGAAGACTGGCATTGGCATTTACTGGCACGGTATAGACCAGGGTCGATAATTTTTGAAACCTAAAAAAATAATAGTAGGATGAAACCCATTGGAAAATGAGGAGAATATTATAAAAATTAAAGGAAAAATACGGGCGATCTGAGGTGGGAAGGTAGGGGGGGAGTTATAAGAAAACGGTTTATCTCATTTCCGGCAAAACTAAAAATCCTATGGAAAAACGTCAAATGGCAAAGTTGTAGGTAATATAAAGATCTAAAACTTTTAAACACATTTTTCACATAACCTTAAAATTTATGTGAAAAATTCAAAAAACCAAGTTATTGGTTTTCAATTTTTATCTTTTACAAAATTTATTTTGTTCCCACGTTTGGTGAATACTTACTTTTTATGTCTAATCGCTGTAAGTTATTTGATTTGAAATAATAATTTTTTCACCTTATTTTGAATTAATATCGAAAAAGCACCCTAATTTTCAACTAAATTACCCGTCAAATGTCACCGTTTTTCAAAAGTTGAGAGTGCTTTCATCGTTGAAATCTCTACTCCTAAAAAAATTTTATATTACTATAGTAAATCTTCTCAGATGTTTTGCAGTTACAACCCAGACCCGTCATCCCCCCCTCACTCTCTCAAAAGATAATTTTACTCCATAACGACTTTTAAAGCCTTTTTTGCATATTTAAAGTTATCTGAAATAAAAATTACTAAATAACACTTTATTTTTTACATTGTCAAAGAGCCCATTACCCCGAAGCGAAAACATATCCTCTGAAGTTAGCCCATTTTAGATATTATGTACTGACTTATTTGCAGTAATGTAGCTAAACTGCTAAAGGAAAATAATCTTATCTCTCCAGTTTCTGCCACATTGATTTAATCTGGTCGAAATGGTATTTGCGAATTTGAAAGTATAGTCTGGTCAAATGTACCTCTGTCCGGTCACAAAACCAGTTCCCGTCCTTAGAGGACAAAGCTATACTGACAATTCACTCTATGCTAATTGTCGTTTTACTTGAACTTAATACTTAATGCATCCGTCAACGCGTTCCTAATGCCTCCGTCTTCTTGATTTATCACACAAAGCTTGTATTTTAAAGCCTTTATGAGGCTAAATTAAGACCTGTCAAAACATTTTTCATAATGCTATAATATGCGTTTTAGAATTTGTCTTTATTTTATTATGTAAACAATTTTTCAAACATTAAGGGTTATATGTACTCTTTATGTTTGTGCAATATGAAAGTTTTTTTTCTTGTGGCGATACCTAAGACTTGTGATTTATCATTGTTTTCTAGAGTTAATATTACAAATATATGCAACTGAGTTTCACTTGTTTTTTTCCTTTAATATCGATGGAATATTTTAAGTGATATAGTTAAGGTCGTGTATATTTTTGTCTGCCTCTTTTCTCACATAATTCCCACTCTGTTTATTTCACGAATTAGCTAGGATTAAATAAAAAAAAAGTGTGTGTGTGTCAGCTACGACGCACGATTGGAGTTTACTCCTTATGAACGATAAAATGGCGATAATGTTCTGTGGCTGTCGACCATATTTTCATACTAAAGGTGGTAAGAATATATGTTTTTATAATATAAATGTTTGTAGTAGTAATAAAACATACCTACATCATCTATGCCCAAATAGGATTTTCTTTCTGTGACCAAAGTTACCTTTATAGTAAGAGAAGAATAAGAATGAACAATCTTTTTAGTTTTAATTTCACTGACTATTACTATTGACAAAACTCTATGGCACGCTAGACAATCTACTTTTATTTTTTACACCTGTCAACACTGACAATGTTGTAACGTGGCTGCCAAAACGTGAATTCAAAATAGATAAGTCTGTGTAATGTATTCCATCTCATTCTTTTACACGTTCAATCCTACAGATATATATGTTTGTCTCTTTCTACATAACGCTTCAACTTTTCGTGTTACACTTGATTTTACTCATAAAATTTCGGTACCGGGCCTTATAACTCAAATCGTTTCTTAAGGAGTAAACTCTATATGTTTGTCTCTTTCTACATAACGCCTCAACTTTTCGTGTTACACATAACGCCTCAACTTTTCGTGTTACACTTGATTTTACTCCTCATAAAATTTCCGTACCGGGCCTTATAACTCAAATCGTTTCTTAAGGAGTAAACTCTATATGTTTGTCTCTTTCTACATAACGCCTCAACTTTTCGTGTTACACTTGATTTTACTCCTCATAAAATTTCCGTACCGGGCCTTATAACTCAAATCGTTTCTTAAGGAGTAAACTCCAAAAAAAACTAACAACATTATTCACTTAAGAATGTTAAAATCATTTCAACAGCTTAAGTATTATCTAGAAAGGTTTGATGTCTTTAAGATACATTTAAAGTGTTTATAATAGAATTATCTCTGTGACCTAGATCTCTGTTTTGCAATTGTTAGTGCACCAAATAATGTTATATGACTTGTGCTTTGTCCGAATATAAAATACAATTGTTATAGTCTGTTAAGCGGAAATGTAATATATAACTCCTGACTGTATAGCCATAATTACTGCCTTAGAATATATTTTACTGTGCTGTTAAGGGCTTCGTTATACCTACAGATATATATGTTTGTCTCTTTCTACATAACGCTTCAACTTTTCGTGTTACACTTGATTTACAGTTTGGTTCGTGGACTACTTTTTTCAATGTCAATTTCAATTATTGATAAACTTATTAACCTTTTTTTCGTCATAAATAATCTGACAAGGTTTCATCGCATTAGCAATCTGCGTGCGTTATCTGAATTGTAAATATTTTGTTATTAACTTATTAAATATCATCGCACGAAAAACCGGGTATGATCCACTAACTAGAGCACGTGAACATCGTTAAGGGCTCGTAAATAACTTTTAACGACGATTTAAACTAAACATGTAAGAAACGTTTATGCACACAATGATGTTATCAAACAGAATATTGCATGAGTGAAAGCTAAGTATTTGAGTTTTAATTTAGTATGTAATTTGTCTTCTACGTCCGTTACATACAATAACTTAAAGCATCATTAACCATTACCTTTTCTTTCTTTTATGATAAAAAATGTATTGAAATGTGTTTAATGTGGTTGAGCAGCTCCAAGTCTTGTTGCCGTTTTTATATTTAGATATGTAATATTATTTGGACATTAAAAGTTTTCCATATTTAAACATGTCCTTAGTTTTTATTTCACGCATTTTGATAACTTCCTACTTTCTACACCCATAAACGAAACAGTAAACAAGTCAATGGAGTGAAAACAAGTGTTTTATTAAAGAATTAGCTATTTACTGTCTATTTAATGTTTGCCTCTACGGAGATTATATTAAAACTGAAAATACTTTAGATTTGTTGCTATAAGATGTGAAGATCTAACGAATTTTATATTTCTTTTCTATGGACTCATGTTATTATTTGTCTCCCTCCCAAAACAGAGAAATAAAACTAGTGGCACTAATAACATTTTGGTGTGGGTGTCAGATTTCTGTATCTGTTTCGTGATCATTTGTTTTTCCTTAATAGGTGATCAATATTAAAAAATAAAATAAAATATGTATATTATAAGGTGATCAGTTTTCTGTGCCTGACATACGCCCTCGACTTTTGGGGTCTAAGGCATGCCGGTTTCCTCACGATGTTTTCCTCCACAGACAATCCAGTCTTAGGCAGACAGTCCATTGGTGCACAATCGGGGGTCGAACCCACGACCTCAGGGATGAGAGTGGTGAAGGTACGAAGTTTGAATCCACTTGGCCAACACTTCTCTCTAGGGAGACAAAAGCTTGTTCTTCCAACAAGACTTTTTTTTAGTTATTCAAAGATTATATTGAGCGTGAGGCGTAACGCTGTATAAGAACAAAAAATGCTTTTTAAAACGTTAGTGAAGTTGTATATTCGGAAACGTATCTGCATTCATTTAACTCTTAGGTTTAAGTGACCTTCATCGGTGATCCCTTTTTAATTATTACTATGTTCTGGTTTATACACTACATATAATTGAAACGCACCATTTATTATTTCGAAAAACTTAATATAATTCCACGCAAAGTTACGGGTATCCGATAGTATTATAAGTTCATCTGAGTCCAATAGGACACTTTGTCAACATTACGTATGCTGAGCACATACCAATCTTTCGGACCTAATCTCCTGTCAGTCAGTACGGGTTCAACCTGGAGATATATGAGGTCACTGAACTAAGGAAACATGTGAATTTTATCAGCGTTCCAAATTTAAAATTCGTTTATATATAGTTTTGAGATAATGTGATATTTTCTTTACGTGTGGTTAATGTTTAATTATATTTTTTATAATACGATACCTTTATGTATATTTGGTATTCTTTCCTATTGTAAATAATATGTTGGAAATGGCATAGTGCATACATTAAACGAACATTACACTGCCGGCGCATAATTGATATTTTTTGTAGAACAGGAGAGTATTCATGATAAAACCGCATAAATATGTAAATAAAAAAGTTCCGCGAGCGTGTTGCTGTATTTTTAAGAATTAGTACCCTCGTTTTCTGGAGCATCCTATGTTAGTGTTAAAATACCTCTAGCCAGGTTCTACATAGTATCTATCAATTTTTTTCTATTATAATCGCGGTAGAATGTAGTCAATGTCAAGGTGCCGAATGATAACGTGCTATTAATTAATACTAAGGAAATGATGGACATTTAATCATGAAACAATGTAGCTACGACAAGAAGTAACTGTCAGACGAGTAACTGGGGCAATCAGATAAAGCCTTCATGACGTAAGCATTGATTGAAAACTCAATGTTTGTCAGTTAATTTAATTTAAAAAAAGGAAAAATTATATTAATTATTTTATTTCATTTTTGCGACTGAAAAAGCTAAAGCATGCAAATAAAGAAAGGCTCCAAATATGATTTTGTCAAATTCTGTGTCGAGACCCTTGGTCCGTGGGGTTATAGCGCTATAGGGTTTTTAAGGAAATAGCAAAAAGGTTAGTCGACATCACAGGAGACCGAAGAACTGGCAGCTACCTCGGACAAAGAATTAGTCTAGCTATTCAAAGGGGGAACGCTGCCAGTACCTTCGGAACCTTTTTATTTCATAGACAGGTGGGTGATTAGCCATCTGTGTCGCACAGTCGACAGATACACGCAGTCGTTTTGCGTCTGGCCCTAAACTCTAGGGCATGCCGATTCCTCAGGATGTTTTTCTTCACCGTATGAGCGAGTGCCTGCATAATTTCGGAAATATTATCATACGGAAAACTCTGTTCAAGTAGCTTTACTTCGTACTTCGGTCACTTCAGTGAGCTTCTGTCCTATCCTTCAGGAGATTGACCACCCCACGACGGCCCAGGCCGAGGTCCGAGTCGGGAAAACGCCCATTCCGGCCGAGCTATGCTCGCCAAAGCAGTCCAAGCTGAGCTGTAAAGGTCAACAGCAAAAATCCATTAAAAAAAATAAAGCAGCTTCCATATAGGCTCGGGTATATAAAAGTGTTTATTTAAAGTGAGAATGCGTCTTAGGAAATATGGTTTGTAATTTTTTTTATCTTAAAGACGGAAATAATTTGACGCACAATTTTATGCAGTAGCCTTTTTTATTCGTATCCAAATTTTAAGAACGAAAAAAATAATATAGCACATACGCAAGAGTTTGGTTTCGCCTTGATATATGAAGTCATCTTGACCCCCATTGAGGCATTGGGTAGACGCATTTCTGCTTCTTGACACGCGTCGTCGATCTTTGGCATGCCGGTCTCCCCACTATGTTTTCGCTTTACGACCTACGAGTTACGATTACGTGTTAATGCGCACATAGAATGCTGGACCAATAAGCTAACACTTCTAGTTTGACCTTGGTCATATTAAATTGAAATTCGTGGCTGAGCGGTTTTGTAAAGGGACCGGAACACCTGGGGTATTCCCAGTGGGAGTGCAAAAAATAACGAAATTTCTACTTTGTTATATAGGGACTATTTCGCATATGTTTTATATAGCAAATTAAATGTTACTTGCTACAGCTAGTCTGCTGGCGGAATGACCTTAAGTGAGTCGTGTCCTTCGGGACAAGAGAACGGTCTCTGCAACGATTTTGCGCTGCTGCCAATTGGCCACTTGGAGCTCGAACAAACAATTAATTAAAAAAAAGAAACACGAGTGACTCATAAGACAGTGATTGTATGTAAACACATTGCTTAGGTTGGTTATAAAATAATAAAATTATAGTTCCGATATTATTTAAATAATAGCGCAGAGAAAAGCTTTAGTTGTTAGTAGAACCAGTTTTTCTAGATCAAGGCAAGCTACAACTGCTTGAGCGAACTACTCATTACTTCCCGTGTTACATATTTTAATAAAGGAATGTAGATAGAATTATTTAAATTAACGTATAACATATTTAAAAATAGAAGCTACTAGAGACGCGGATATTCTACTTTTATAAGTGCGAGACACTTGTCTTAAAATTTAGTAATAAACGCAGAAATATGTCTGCCCTGCGTTTCGGTACTTCAATTTCCAATTTTATTTAATCCATCTGAAATATTAAATTTTTTTAAGGTTTTAAACTACTCTTGGTTTTAATTTCTAAATTAAACCAAGTAGTAGTTTAGAAAAAAAACAGTAGACTGTTACATTGATTGAAACGAACCCTTAGGGCTTAGATGAATAGTAGTTATACATTCTTTTATTAAAACATAAGCAGCGCTTCATAGGAGCATTTGGAAGTACAGAACATACAATACCTTTCGAATAGTAAACGCTAGTCTAAAAATTTGTAAGAAACCGAATACCTACTTGATAAAACTATCCGATTTTTTTCTTAAAAAATATAGAATTATGTCCGACTCGTAGCAATTACGACTGCTTTGTTAAATCCTGAAGGAGAATAAAAGGTATTGTGGTATAAGTTTTTCGGAAAACTATTATAAACGCCGTCTAAATATTAAAGGAAGTTCAGTGGTATTAGTTTTTGTACAAGTTTTTGTTGCCATATTAGCGCCGATACCCTTGAAATACTTCGGTGTTATTCAATAGCGGAAATGGTCTGATACACTTTTTAATTCTTTACCTACTTTGAATGGCACGTGTAGCACAAAGATTGAGTCATGTTTAAGATACTCTGAGAGCAATTTAAACACTACTACTACTTCTCTGATACTTTGAAGCTGATGAATGATTTGATCCGTACTACAATACCACGCAAATATTACTATAGAATGGACCAATTACATTTTCTAACACACACTTATAGGCGCTTATCGAAAAGAACAAAGGATTATTTATGTATGAACCCTTCACTAGATATGCGCATACACATGCTCGGTTTTATTGTATATTTTGTAGTAACATTATTAATACATACACAAAAAAAAAATAAACAAAAAAACTTTTTTTTTAAAAAAAAAAAAAAAAAAGGGGGGGGGAAAAGGGGATACATGTATCTAGTTCCTAAAAAACTAATTACACTTTATGTACCTGACATGTCGTGGCATGTGAATAATCTTCTTAAAATATATAAATTACGCGTCATGTTGTTTGTCCGCTATGGATTCCTAAACTACTTAACCAATTTCAATCAAATTTGCACACCGTGTGCAGTTTGATCTAACTTACAAGATAGGACATCTTAATTTATACCCGCAATATTATTTTATTGCAAATTATTTGTTTATTATTTGACAGCCACAATTCGAACAGATGGCGCTGTGTTGCAAGTACCAACGTTTCGTATAAGCTACAATTTAATGGCATAACCACCTAAAAAGCATGATGGTCCCCATGACTGGTGTTCTCCTACCATTTCCCTTGAATAGTTTACTACTATGTAATATAACAAAATCTTTAGCCATAGCAATCGTCTAGTGAATAAATAAATAAATGAGCCGGTTTCCTGACGATACTTTCACACAAGCAAGTAGTATATGGCACATAGAGCAAGATAACCATTGGTGTACAGCCAGGGCTCAAACTCAGCACTGGGCTGACGCTGATAATTGAACGTATGGATCGTTGAACAACGAACTTCTCTCTACTACTCTACTCAATTTCCAAATCACTTCTAAGAATCACTCGTCATCAAACGCAACTTATATGAACAATAGATAGAGTTTTTGTGTCTAATTTTTTCTCGTGATGCATCTTCATATGCGGGGGTTAGGCGCCGAGATTGTTGTTTCGTGTCCTTGTTTTTTACAAGAGATTTAAGCACCCTTAAGCGCATGGCACGCCATCTAGCCTTCTAGCTGCGTATTAATCGATATACTAGAATAATATAAATAATAAAAGTAGAGGAAAAAAAGTTTATATATATTGTCATTGGCTATGAACTCTAAAGAATATGTAATGTAAATATAGATAATAAGAGATCTAGCCACGATTATCATTACTATTCTCATGAGACAACAGTTAATAAACGCCACAGACTACGCAATAATTAAATGCCCACATTCAACCAACATACAACAATAACATTTCGTAATTGTTCTTATTTTGAAATTCTTAATTAGTGTTCTTAAGGTCATAATACCACTAAACTCATGTGAAAAACTGATTAATAAAGTAAGTGATAATTGTTATTATTATTATTAAATATTAAGCGGTGCAAAAAATCTAATGAGTATAAGGCCTATATAAATATAGGTATAATTTAATAAATTTAGTTAAAGTAAATATTTCAAACAGTATCTACGTAAATTCAATAATCATGATGTCCAAAGCGGTAAGTTTGAGAACACAATTTTAAATTTGAATTATTTCCGTTACTTTCCTTTTCGATATGTATGCCTAATATCATCTGAAAAAATTGAAACGGTTGACCCTACAACCTGCAATTATTAATATATCTTTATTTCGACTCATCAGTAGTGTCACACAATAAGGCTAATAACATTTTCCCGACATCTCACCAGGGGGAGAGAGGTACCAAAAATTTTAAAAAACACCTCAGTAATTTATGCACGCCCCCTTACTTTCCTTTTCGCTATGGTTCTGATATCATCTGTACTTGTACAACGAAGTTATTAATATGATCTTTATTTACGCAATTGTCACACAATAATAATATACATTTTACACCATATCATTTCGCAGGCTGTATAGCAAGCAATATGCAACTTCTAATTCGAAATATATGTAAAAAATTTGAATTAGCGATTTAATCCATTAAAATAAATGTTTAAACGAAAATCCCTTTCTTTGTAGTATTGTCTTAATTGAGCTTATTTTAACTAAATTACATAACTTATTCCTAAACTACAGTAAATTGGATAACGAACCTTAATTTTAACATGATATAAATGCTTATAATAATTCTGTTCAGATAAATCCCGAAAACCAGCTTATTTATTATATTTCTGAAACCTAATACGTTAAAGTAAAAGAAAATGATTTTTCGGTGGATTTGTAAGGGACGAGAGGCGCTTTATTATAGAAATAGTAATGTAGGTCGTTTTGATGTTCGACTGCCGGTGTCTTATGACTGGGGTCGTTAACCTGTGCATCTGCAGAGCTTCGCGTGTTTACTAATATTTTTTATATTTTCATAGATTTTTTCGGTTTACATTTATTGATTACATACGGAAAGTTGGTTTTTCATCCTTTTTACCGAATATTATTTGTGTAGAATTGTTTAAATTGAACTTGAATGTGTTCATATAATTCTCATGTCTCTTTACATAAATATATGTGGGATATTCTTGATTATATTATGTAAAAAATCTATTAATTTATATGTTGACGAGTTGACTTGTTTTAGCAAACACAAAACATAAGAATTTGTTAATAATAGTAATAGTTGTAGCGCCTTTTTCTGAATAAATATTCAAATATATGATTTGGTGTGTGTAAGATTTTAAAAGTTAATATATACAAGAATTATAAAAAGGAAAGATTAAATTTTTTCTATTCGTCTGTAATATGTAAAGTAAGAAAGGGATTTTAAAATTACTTTCGGTAACAGAGCTAAATTATCAGCGAATAACACCCTCTTATTATTTCCAAGTTAACGAAGTTGTAGGTACATAAACAAGAAATAATTTGTGACTATAAGTAGGTACGAGTATAAAATTTGCAAATAATGTACATAAGTAGGATACTTTGTTTGTTTTGTATGAGCGTCATAATTTAAGCAGTAACAAAGACAGCGTCATAATTAATCATACAGCTAGACCGGAAAGTTCGTGTATGGCCATCACTTCAAAATAAAATTATCATAATGTTATCTAATTAAAAGTGTTGTTTTAATGACAACGCGACTTCTTCTGGGTAGAATGAAAATGTAAATTATATAAATCTCCCTTTCCGTCACGCATCATGCAAAATTATATTATGAGACATATTTAAAACTGAATTTCCTTTATCACAAAGTGAAGACAATTTCACTAAAAGAGTGAGTACTTTAGTTAAAAGAGTGTAAATACACAGACTTAGACACCAGATGAATTGAGATAATATCAAATTCGGTTGTGACAGTAATATAAGAATCAATTCAACATTTGTGTACTTGCAGGTTGTGAAAGAGAGGAGAGGGGATCATTTTTATGTATTATCTATTTCCTCCTTTTATTCCGAAATTTATTTCGACATTAAGTGATTCCAAAGTCAAGACATATGCCAAATTTCATTTAAAGTATATTTCCCTATTCATTGAAGTGAAAGCATTAATTATTTATGCTTTCACTTCAATGAATAGGGAAATATACTGGAAAACGTTTTTATTTAATATGATCGAGACGTGATTTGGTTTTGATGAAATTACTGAAAAAAAAAATCATTTTCTTTTTGGATATTTGTGTACGAAATAAGTCATTGACCTTAACCCATTCGCCGGAAATTAATATTTCTTTAATGTCTATATTTTTTTGGTAGACAAACAAATTCTTTTAGTCCAAGAAAATTTCCCTAGTACACGCTCATTGATATAACAAACAGTTTTTAACGCAAGGCCAAAGTTTGGCTTTCAGGATAAAAATATATAAACATGTGTGTAATCTATTTTTATTTTGTCCTTTACTTTCAGATCCAAAATAGTATGGTTTCCAGTGATTTTCTTTTTATGCATTTAGCGCCATCTATTGGCGCGAATCTAAAGCTCAATTACATACCAAAATTTATCCACGCATTTCAAATATTCATGAGCTCAGAAAACTCATAAACAATTATATTTCAGGTCTTCCTGTTCGCCCTATTGGCTTTATCTATGGCAGCTCCAGCACCTAGCAACATCCTGACATACGCTGAAGTGTACCCAGCAGTTGAAAGCTACTCCAGCTATTCGGACTCTGTGGTTCACGGCACTCCTATAGTCTCCGTGCCATTGGTGGAATCTGTACCAGTAGTGCAGGCTTATGGATATGATCAAGTTCTTTTCTAATCTTTTAATTATATTCACATTTAAAATGTCTATTATTTAAACCATATTTTATATTATATATTCTTTCTTGTATTTAATAAATGGCCTATTGCCGTTAATTCTTATTTTTATTTCGTTAAACCCTTTTTTAAAGATGATTATAGAAAGAGATATAGAAGAATATATAAACAGCGAGTGTCACTGATTTGTTTTTATAAAAAAAGGTTTTATTTACTATAATATCCGATTTCGATAAAAAGTTTTGTAAAATTTCGATCTAGCACGTAAAAAGCAATCTTATTATTACATAATATAGGGTCTACTATAGACTGTCTTTTAATACACCCATCGGTTCAAATATTGATATCAGATTCAGAAAAGAGACAGTGCGAACAAACACTAGCTGTCTTTTTATTTATGTGACAGGAAGCAAACGAGTAGGAGGCTCACCTCATGTTAAGTGATACCGCCGCACATGTACATTGCCAGAAGGCTCGCAAGTGCGTTGCCGGCCTTTTACGAATTGGTACGCTCTTTTCTTGATGGACCCTAAGTCGAATTGGTTCGTAAAAACTTCAATGGGTACCAGGTCAAATTCAATACCCTTTTGAGATACGGCAGTCGCACGTAGCGTCTATTAAAATGTGAATGTGTTTATATTTTTTAACTACGTATGTATAGAGGGAGAGAGACAATGTCAAAATCTTTATAAAATGCTAGCAAGGTTATAATTACTTTTATGGCAAAGCACATTTTGCAGTCAACTAGATCATATCACTGTCATTGGTTATTAATAAAACATAAAGTACTAATAAGTAATGTACTTTATGGTACTTTTATACAAAAACCTACATATATATGTCCCAGATATATGATTACTAGGTTTTAGCCGCGATTTCGCGCGTAGTTTACGTATTGTTTTTAATTGAAAATGTACGAGTTATTACTAAACAGATACTTGTATGCTAATGTGTTATCTTTCCCGAACTCTGTTGCCATATTCGCGGAAAACGTGTGCCAAAATGTATATGTTCGAAGGTCCTAATTAAGCATCCAGAAATAATACTTCTGAAGTGATACGAACAAAATCTCTATAGTTCTTTAAAGAAGAGATGATTAGGACGACGTTTCATTATTCGTAATTGTAGGTTATCCAATGTGCATTAGGTAATATTTGACCTGCTTACTTGAGTTCAGGAAATTTATTAATATTCATCATGATATTCGATTGAAACTTGGCCACCACTTGAGGGATTTTTATTGTTAATACATAGTTTAGTTGACAGACAACTATAAACATAATTGTCATAATAATTATTGTAATCCTTAAAGAGAATGGACCTTTATCAAGGAGTCCAAGGTAAACTCGAACAATCTTATCAATAACAAAAGTTGTCAAGTTTCAGATTAATTTCTAAGGGAATAGAGTCTAAATTGATCAGTAGGCTTAGCCCAATACAGCTTGTGGCGCTACCCTTGTAGAGTAATTTCTTTCCGAGTATGATGCCAAGCCAACGCCTTATTGCATAGTACCTGACGTCACAAAGAATCTGGATATCGCCTACAATTCAAGTATATAAGCTGTGTATTACAGGGAACATGCACAGTTTCACTCACAACAAATAACAACACAGACCACAATGTTTAAGCTGGTGGTGTTGTCCGTAACCCTTGCCCTGACGTCGGCCACTGGGCTGGCTCCCCTCGGTCTCGGATGGGGCGCTCCTTGGGGAGCTCCACTGGGTGCACACTTACGTGCAGCTCCCTTAGCCGCTGCGATAGCTGCCCCAGCTTTGGTTGGACCGGCAGCGATTGCCGCGCCCATTGGTCTCGGCCACGGTGCGTACAACTACAGAGGGCCCCTCTCCCTGGCACCTGGTCAGCCTGCTAACATCTTGGCTGCCGACGGAAGACCTTTGGATACGCTCAGTGTTAACTTGGACCGTGCCGCTCACTACACCGCGAGGGCGCTCGATGGCGGACATCTTCTGAAGAAGAGATCCATTCTTGCACCGGCTGTGGCTTGGTCCCACGCTGCCCGTGTTGACTGGCCAGCTGCTCGTATTGTTGGCCCTGCTGTCGCTCCTCTTGGCTTAGCCGCACCCATTGCTCCCGTTGCCCCTTGGGGTTTAGGAGTCGCCGCACGTTGGGGACACGGTTGGTGAACTAAATTGGAACAACAATATTAGGCTATCAAAATTAATTATATAGTATTAAAAATTGACAAAATAAAGAGAGTTACCTAAATTTTAAAAAGGTTTTTCTTTTCTATCCAGCATATAATTTGTAATGTGCGCATTTTATGTATGTGCGAGGTAATAGTTAAGCATAAACAATCAAACTCTCCAAACAAAATTTTCAATGGTTAAGCTATGGTTTCAAGAACTTGTTTATTAAATGCATCTTAACGCCATATAAAAACAAACTCTTTTCCTCCCATCTTTCACCTGTAAAAATTCAATATGGCACAAATAACGTATATTGTAAATATATTGTCGAACTAAATGTGTTGTGAAGTTTCATTCATTTTTTTTAAAGAATTTATAAATTATTCTATACATCCTATAAAAATATTACCGGCTTCAAAATGCATTAAGAAAAATTTAATTATTATTATTAATTAATTACATTACAGTTTGAATAAATATTGGTGCAAAAAACTATGTGTAACGCCTACAATAATTTTAATTTTAACTTTTTAATAGCTTGCTCGAGCAATTCACAAATTGTCAAATCCCTTACCTCCTCTACAATTATGGATATATTATTGTGCAGCGGACTCATAAATTAAGAGTCAAACCGATCCATTAAAATCTATTTATTTGTTCAAATATTTTAGTGCATAAGTAAAATAGTACTTTGTTATATTAACTATTTGTTTTTTTTCTTTATAAAACTTCTGAATTAATTTTTCTCTTTGTGTTTTGAAAACCGAAAGGTCTCATAAACGGTCGGATCAGGTGTCTGTGAAGTTAGCAGAGCGGTTACCAGCAGATCACAAAAATTAGATTCTAGTAGCACACTCAATAGGTCTAGGTTCCTCATAGTTTTTAGAAAGAGTTCTGGACGTTTGAGACCAGAAAATATATTTCTTTTAAATCGTAAAATGCTCTGCCAGCTTCCCGATCATAGCAGAGCATTTCTTACCGATTTTGATAAATAAGGTCTCATTACAACAACACATTCAATTGTAATAGTCCCCTATAATTTAAAAGCAAAAACAAAAAGGTTTAATTATAAAAAAATGAAGTGAAAGAAAACGAAATAATGAGCATTTTTCTAACTTTTTACTAAATTAAAAGAAAACCATATTATACAGACATGGGAACTCCGCGGTTTCTATTAGATCTATCACATATCTAAGCATAACAGTTAAAGCACAGGCCAGAACTCTTCTTTTTCTCTTAGAAGAGCAATATTTTTTAATTCTAAAATAAGTGAAACTTTTGTGCTCTGCAAACTTCACAGACACTCGGATCAGTCGGTGGTTTTTCAGACTTTTAAACTGAATTTAAATGCAAAAGATATGTGTTAAATATCAATCAATTCAAATAAACGCAATAAGTTAAGAAAGTGATGCGAAATGCGCCGAAGGTACTTAATTAATAAGTATATATTTTTATTCATTACTATAAATAAACTGTATATTTCATTTTCTTATTAGTGAAAAAACCAATATGAGTATGATATAAACTGTCAGCGTCGAATAATGTTTTGATGACATGGCCAAAAATATTATTATTATTAGGTTGGGGAAAAAGTCTTTTCGCATTATAGTATGTATGAACTTGTAATAAAATCTCTTTGGCTATACTATTTGTATCTGGCTGGTTTTGATATCATTAAAAGTTTAAATTTTAAAGAAGATAATTCCAAATTCAAATTAGGAAAATGTGTGTTTTTAATTATTTTTCGTACCGTCAAGATGTGTGAATCTAATGAAGAAATTCGATACATTTTAAAATTTTACTACTAATGGTAAAATGCAACACAAGCCGCGAAATTTTTTTGCGATGTTTATGGACCTAGTGCAGTGTTTGTGAGAGTAGCACAAATTTGGTTTAAGCGTTTTTAATCCGGAAATTTTGATGTAAAAGATGCACGTCGCTCTGCAAAAATTAAGAGAGCTTGGCTGGGAGGTGTTAATGCATCCGCCGTATAATCGTGACCTTGCAACTTCAGATTTCCACCTGTTTCAGTCTCTTCAGAATTCTTTAGGCAGTCTCAAGTTAACATCACGACAGGACTGCCAAAACCAATTGTCGCGGTATTTTGATCAGAAGCTCTTAAATTTCTATAGCAATGGGATCATGTCCCTACCTACAAGATGGCAAAAAGTTATCAAACAAAATGGTACCTACAAACTTTAGTTAAATGTAAATAAACTATATTAAAAAATGTTGTGAAAACTCTTGACTGAGTGACTTAAAAAAAATAACGCTTATTCTAACGCTAACGATGAATTCTGGTATGTACCGAGTCTGTGCTTGATACGCTAACAAAACATTGTTCATTCGACGACCTTTACATGAAATTATCAGTTTAACGATCGGGCCACGGCATTTATACATACATAAAATTGTAATATAAAAAACTCGCAAAATGTCAGTAATACACAAATTAATACAATAAAATAACTATAATTGGTTATTTAAACAACTTTATTGCATTTTATAATTTCGTTGATGATTCAAAAGTAATGAGCGTAAGGTGTAGCGTATGAGATTGGGCTTATCCGGGCAACAGCTGGTCCGGCGTAGCCATAGCTGTGAGCGATCAGTGGACTGCGGGCGACGGCAATGGGAGATACAGCAGCGACAGGGGCGATGAAGGTGGCAGAACGCTTCTTCAAGATGTGGGCTCCTTCATAGGCCTTAGCGGTGTAGTGGGCAGCACGGTCCAAGTTCACATCCAAAGTGTCCAAAGGCCTGCCGTCAGAGCCCAAGATGTTGGCGGGCTGACCGGGGGCGAGGGAAAGTGGGCCACGGTAGTTGGAGGGAGCTAAAAGTGGGGCGGCGTAGGCGAGAGGAGCGTAGGGCGCGATAAGGTGGGTAGCGAAGACCGACCGTTTCTTCAGCAGATGGATACCACTGTCAAGGGCCTTGGCAGTAAGGTGAGCTGACCGATCCAAGTTAACTTCAAGGGTGTCCAAAGGTCTGCCATCAGCGGCCAAGATGTTGGCGGGCTGGCCGGGGGCGAGGGATAGTGGCCCCCGGTAGTTGTAGGGCTGGTAGTAGGGTGCGGCGTAGGCCAAGGGTGCGTACGGTGATAAGTAACCCCCAAACAAACCCGTAGCAGAGGCCGCCGCCAATACGCAAGACAACACCACCAGCTTCATCATTTTGATAGGTTGGTCTGTGTTGATTCCTGTGCTCACACTGATGCCAGCTGAAAGGTAAAATGGTCTTTTATACTTTATTTCGACGTTTTAATTCGACGGGCGTCGCCGGAAAATATTGTTGACCGTGAATGGACTACTTTTGATAAAAATTATTTATTTATAAAGTTCACTTACTCGGTAGGCCCATTTTTCGATCAAACTTGACCAGTCTAGATAACTAAGGTCTAAATTTATTTATTTGCAATGTTTATTGTATTTACATACAGTAAAACAGCTATGAGAAGTATATAAATACGCCTCGTAATAGAGTCTTCGGCAAATGTTATATGTACTATGTATGTTCATAATTTAATTGTTATTTAATAGTATTGCATATTAGGGCTATAAAATAATAACTGAAACATTCAGGTAATGTAAACTTACGATATAAACAAAATCTTTGATGAAAATTTAGTGAAGTAATCAAAAAGTGGTAAACAATGAATTAATTATTTTAATTATATTAATCAAACCTCTGTCACAGTAGTTAATAAAATGTGTATTGCTTTGGTTTAGTTGAAAATAAATAGATATTTAAATTTTTAATTTGAAGTTAAATCTAATTAAATATAAGGAAATTCACAAGAATATTACTAAAGATCAATAGGAAAACAGTGTTTGCCATTTCAGATGTTCCAAATAAACTTTAATCAGTATTCATCAAAATTGCCGAAAGGCTTGAAATTAATCAGATTCTACTAAAAATATTATTATTTAATTTAGGTAGAAGAAATAATCATTTACTTCGTTATTTGGACGATAATAAAGTTTAACATATACTTGGAATTAATGAAAAAGATTTAATTGATATTAAAAAGAAACAAAAACAGCGGATATGTTATTACACGGTTTCCATATAAGTACTTATTAATTTATTTTAGTCTGTGGTTTTGTGCTCTATTTACGTATCTAGAGTTATTTTCCAGGGGGACTAGGATTTGTGTGATTTTAGGTGTCCTATTACCAATGTCACTGTACTGCGTGGCATAGACGTAGTTAATCCTTTGTTTTTTATGAATAAGATGTTACAGTCCAGTATAGTCAGGAACAATTTCAAAACTAAATCATCATTTATTATTTACGGTAACTCAATGAATGTATAAAAAAAATAACAATTACTAACGCTTTATTTAATTTAATATGACATATTTTTTATTCAAACATTGCTTTTATTAAGTGCGTAATGTTCTGGTTTGATTCTAGGTAAAACAGTAATTGTTTCCAGTTAATAGGCATCGATGGCATTTTCAATAGATAAAATAATACTGTTAAAAGTGTACGTTTACCGAACATCTTCAAAAAACTTCTTAATTGTATGTATTCAATATATGCATTATGCAGTATACATTGTTTAAATACTGAGGGTGAGGTGAATGCAGCACCGGCACTGCAATCATAGGTACATAAATAGATTGTAAATTACTTTAAATTTTAAAATAATTTTTTGAGATTAAATATTTATATACCGAAACCAATAAGGCTAATCGCCTGGTCTACCTGTTCTATAACGTAACATTTAACGTAACGTAACAGTATTTGTAGAATATTGCACTACTTTTTACCTATACAACGGTCCTCGGGTGCACCGCATCAGAAATGTTTGCTAGGCGTGTGATTGTGCCGCTCCAACAACATTTTAGAAATGATAGCCTGAACTGTGAACTGGAATGTATGAAGAAGTGTGAAGTTTGGGTGCAGGGTTGCGGAAGTAAATTTTTTGAACTCTTTATTTGTTTTACTAATTTTAATAAAGATATTATTACATAATATAAAACAAAACTCAAGGACTTCAAATATTAACTTTATCTTTCCTACTAACCGTTACTTACTATGATTAATCTATGTTAATTTCTTTTGTTTGTTATGCCTTCATACTAAGGCGAATCCGGTTTTTTAGATTTTTAAATAAAGTAATTAAATAAATATAATTAAAAATACGTCGAGTTTTACAGATTTTTTTAGCAATTGGGTTTTTGAAAAAAAATTTTTGTGATAAATGAAAAGATCATATAAAAGTTTTATAACAAAACTATTTTTTTTATTTTTTTCGCAATAATTCAAAAGTTATTTCAAAATAAAAATTAATATTTAATCAAGTACCGAAAACACGCCGAAATCGAGCCTTACGTCATAATGTTAGTTTTCACTCTTGGTTGATAGAAAATAAAAATAAGTTTTGACAAATTAAAAATAATATTTAATATATGAAATATATATAATAAAATAAAAGCCGGTTTTATAATATTTATTCAAAACTATGTATGTTTATATTTTTTATTTAAATTTACAATTTTTAATTTTTAAATTAATTGAAAACAATTTTTTAAGCTTTTGATTAAAAAATATTATAAAATAAATTTTAAAATAATTAAAAAAAAATTTTTTAGCAATTAAGATAAATAACTAAAAACTATATTTTTCTTTTTGGCTGTGATTCTGGGTTCGATTCTCGGCGAAGTTATATTTGTTTCTAGTAAGTAGATTGGTACTTGAAAAAATAAATCCAACGTGTAAATTCTCTGCCCCTTTGCCTTTGGTTCCGTTTAATTATGACTGCATTAGAGTTTAGATCTTTTGTAAACAACATGAATGTGTAATATTAAATATTCGTGCTTTAAAAGAGATTAAAAAGTAAATAAAACAATACAAAACATCTCTCAAGAGAATATTTTTGTACAAGGAAGTGATTTTAATCTATTTTTTTTGTAACAAATAAGCCTCCGTTCACCACTGCTTAAAATTCTTGTAATTAAAACGATAATTATTATTTACGACACAGTCTCTTATGACGATTAAATGTCAGTCAAGTGTACTTTACAATAAAGAAGTGTTTCTTAATATATCACTTGTCTACTCTACCATCAAAAATTGTTTTCTATATAAGTTATTTATGGGATTTAGATGTTACAGACGTTTCGTGAATTATGCATAAATAGCGTTATGTAAATTAATAATTAAATTAGAATTATATAAAACACAAAAATCTTGTTTTTACATTATATTTCTGTTTGTATGTACATCAGTTTACATTTTTTAAGCCGTGTTGTTATTTTTACAGGTAATGAGCGTATGGAGCAGCGTATGTGATCGGGCTTATCCGGGCAAGAGCGGGAGCGGTGTAGGCGTAGCTGTGAGCGATCAGTGGAGCGCGGGCGTAGGCCACGGGAGCCACAGCAGCGACAGGGGCGATGATGGCGGCAGAACGCTTCTTCAAGATGTGGGCACCGTTCAAAGCTTTGGCGGTGTAGTGGGCAGCACGGTCCAAGTTAACATCCAAAGTGTCCAAAGGCCTGCCGTCAGCGCCCAAGATGTTGGCGGGCTGGCCGGGGGCGAGGGAAAGTGGGCCACGGTAGTTGGAGGGAGCTAAAAGTGGGGCGGCGTAGGCGAGAGGAGCGTATGGCGCGATAAGGGGGGTAGCGAAGACCGACCGTTTCTTCAGCAGATGGATACCACTGTCGAGGGCCTTGGCAGTAAGGTGAGCTGACCGATCCAAGTTAACTTCAAGGGTGTCCAAAGGCCTGCCATCAGCGGCTAAGATGTTGGCGGGCTGGCCGGGGGCGAGGGATAGTGGCCCCCGGTAGTTGTAGGGCTGGTAGTAAGGTGCGGCGTAGGCCAAGGGTGCGTATGGTGATAAGTAACCCCCAAACAAACCCGTAGCAGAGGCCGCCGCCAATACGCAAGACAACACCACCAGCTTCATCATTTTGATAGGTTGGTCTGTGTTGATTCCTGTGCTCACACTGATGCTGTCGGAACGCAGCAAACGTCTTATATACTTGCATCATAATTTAACTAGTTGGGCGTCGCCGGAAAACATTGCTGACCATGAGAAGGACTACTTTTATTTTGACATGAAAGTATTATTAATATGTATCAGAGCATTTTGCACTAGTAATCCAATCTGGACTTTCAATTGTAGGGTGCTTTTACAAAGATGAATCTGCAATAATTTTGAAGTGTTGTGTGTCTATTATATAGTCTAAATTAGTTTTCAATAACTCCTTGCTTCCTTTTCCGGATTCCTCATATGTATATCTTTTTTGTATTAACATAAGCCTAAACAATTTATTATATTAAGTAGATTAAGCGCGGCGAACTTGATAAACATTGGTATTTTGCGTTGTAGCGGAATGCCTTAGTGTAATATGATATAATATATTTTATATAAAATGGAACGAGAAGGTTATAATTTAGTTTAAGTACAACAAACGCAATAAATTTTCTTTTTAATAACCAAACAAGCAATATGTAAGAACATATACAATCAATAAAAAGGATGACTTTTGCATTGAGTTTCTAATTATCTTAATATATATATATATTTATATTTTATATTATATTATATAGAACGATGGCGTACGGCAAAAGGGTATTAAATACTTCTTAAATATTATCCGCATAGTTAGTAAAAACAATCGAATTGAACATTTTTAACTAATTTGTTTTAATTTTAAACATCTATCTTCTTTATTACAGCGTAAACAATTTGACATAAAGAGACGAATGTTTTTTTTTTAATGGCTCTGGCACGATTTGTGCATTAGCCAGCGTCAGTATAGGATTTTTTATAATTTGTGCTTGTCTTTAGAAATTCGACCGTGTCCTCCATGAACGGTTTAAGCACTCGCCCGGTACCGCACAACCCTCCCAAAGGCCGAGAACAAATTTAAATTAAATTAAAACTTGCCCTCGAACCGAGAATCGAACCCGGTACCCCTCACCTAGCTGCCACTTAATAAGACCGCTAGGCTATGAGGCCCCTAGACGAATGTTAAAACTGAGTTTTTAGATTTTGTTTCTTTAAAGAGGTTTAATACCTACATAAGCAGTATGTTTGAAATTGCATTGTAAAAAACTTTGTTTTAAATAAAATAAAAAAAAAAAGGGGGGGGGGGGGGGGGGGGGGGGGGGGGGGGGGGGGGGGGGGGGGGGGGGGGGGGGGGGGGGGGGGGGGGGGGGGGACCCCCCCCCCCCCCCCCCCCCCCCCCCCCCCGGGGGGGGGGGGGGGGGGGGGAAGGGGGGGGGGGGGGGGGGGGGGAGGGGGGGGGGGGGGGGGGGGGGGGGGGGGGGGGGGGGAGCCCCACACCCCCGCGGCCCCGGCCCCCCAAAGAAAAAAAAAAAAAAAAAAAAAAAATTTTTTTTTTTTTTTAAAAAAAAAATTAATAATTTTTATAAAAAAAAAAAAAAAAAAAAAAAAAACACAAAAAAAAAAGGGGTTTTTTAAGGGGGGAAAAAAAAAAATTTTTATTTTTATTTTGTTTTTTTATTTTAAATAACCAGCAGCCAGCCGAATACTTTAAAAACTAGGATGGATAAATTTATATTGCACCAAGGGTAACACGTTTTAATAAATGAATAATTCAAGCCTCTTCGTAAATCTACGTCACTTGTCTTCAGCGACCTAAATATTGGCTAACAGCGCGTGTCTCGTGTCTTGAGTTTTTACAATTACGTGCCAAACATATACTTTAATAAATTCTTGTAGCTTCGCCAGCCAGATTTTAAAAACTTTGGATATAGAGAAAAAGCATTAAATAACTTTTAGAGAACAATTGAGTTACAGGGACCAAACGTTGAATAGCGGATTAAGAGAATACGTTCATGATTAATCTTTTATAAGTATACTAGCTGGCCTGGCGAACATCGTACCGCCTAACCGTCGATTCTTAATTTTTTTTAAATACTTATTCTGCTATTCGGGACACCGGTCTAGCTAGTAAGATAAAAAAAAGAAAGTTGATAAGACAACAAATACATTATGTCAAAAAATTAAAATTTACCTTCCCGGAACCCCTCCACTAACACTTGAACTTTATGATATGGTATTAAAGTTCAAATTGACTTTTAAGTATTATTACGAATATTTTGTATGGGAATATAGAAAAGTGTTGTTTTTAGACTTTTTCACTCAATTTTTTTTAATTTTTCTCTCCGTAAGAACCATCCTCGTACTTCAAGGAATATTATAAAAAAGTAATCAGACAAATCAGTCAAGCCGTTTTCATGTTATGTTGTGACAACGGAAAACGGGTTTCATTTTTATATATCGAAGGGGGGAAAGCACATTTGCTGTAAGTAGACATATTGCAATTGTTCACCAGAGCCAAAAACTTTATTAATTTCGGAAAAAATTAATAGTGTCTGACCTATCCATGATATTGCTACCATTTTTGAAACATATATTTATTTAACTGCCAGTCACCATTTGGAAGTAAAATAATTTTATCCAAAGTTACTATAAGTACGTGTTTGGCTAGTTACAGCAAACAGTTTTTTAAATCACAAACCTTTAAAACGCTGTAACTAAGGAAGAAAAATGTACGCGCGGAAATATTATCAATTTACAGGGCGGTAAATATGCTGTATGCAGGAAATTTATGTATTTGGGTACTTTTAATTGCAATTCAAGATGTAAGATTTTTATAATTATATGATTAGGAAAAAAGGAGGGGTCTTTTGGTAATGTAATGTTTGGTTGAAATAAAATGTCCGTAAATGGAAAAAAACCAAAACTGTAGGTTCCATAGCTGTAAGTAAACGAAACGGTAAAAATCACACGCCGCTGAAATGCTGTAAGTAGCGTTGGAGTTTTTAAATGGGAAGAAGTAAGTATTTGTAAAGAAAAAATGCAGATTTTCTTTTGCTGTAAGTGCAAAATGTCTGAAATGACTAGATTTTGGTCTACATACAGCATTTAATCTTGCTAAAAGGCGATAAAAAAAAAAAAAGGGGGGTTTTTAACGGCGTATGTAATTTTTTTCATCGTAGAGACACAGGACCCAGGTCTCCTCATCTCCGCTGCGGCTTTTTTCTGATTCTAATGGCAGGAAAAAGTCACTTTAGGTATTTTGTCTACTTACAGCAAATATGCTTTCCTAGTGATATGTATATAGATAAAAGATGAAATTGCGTAATGCTTGAACAAAAGTTCAACATTTAGGCAGTTTGGACTATTTGTTAACTTGACTTTGGATAAATATTCGGTAATTGCGTAGTTCAATATATATTTTTGTTGAAGAGGATGTTAAACAATAAATACAATTGTATCTAGTTCAAACACGTTAATTTATTACAAATTAAAATATATATTTGTTAAGTGTGATTTGATTCTGTTTAAAGGTTTTTTTTTTAAATTATATTACGATTCTTGTCATAATTTTTTAATGAAAAGCAGTGGAAATGAAAATTGTTATAAGGTTTCGATACGTCGATGCATTCAGTTGACGTAAAATTGTAAACATGATATTCAGTTTTCTCCGTTTGGTAATAATGGCTGTATAATCTACAGTAATAAGTTCCTACTAAAGAAAATGAAAAAAACTCGACTTCAGCGAGTCTAATCACCCTTTTTAACTTATTTGCCAGAAACTATAAAGTTCAAATATTTTACCACAGACTACAAAATGCTATTGGAATAAAACTCCTAACAAAATAATGTGTAATGAATTATTTTTTTCTTTTTATGACATTGTTTATACTTTATTAGTCTATTAACAAGAATGCGAGTAAATATATGGATATCGAACTCAAGGATATCCTGTAGATTACTTGAGTTACTACTTTTCGTCCGCAGATTAAGTGCGTGGTGATTATGATCACGAATAAAAATTGTAAATATTTCTTTTTCATTTTTACAGTTTAAATGCAAATTCAATGCAAATATTTAAGGAAAAATCTAAGCCTAAATTTATATTTAAAAAACACAAATTACTTGTGTCATTATAATATCAGTTAACTGCGTTCTAGTAAATTCTACCGTTTAATTTTTGTTTGGATTCTTTTTGCTTAGCGACTTTTTGTTGTTACTCTGTGGAGCTTTATAAAGAACCTCATTTGAATATCGAACCAATGCGCATTTTATTAAATAACAAAGAAATACTCGCCACCCAAAAATATGATTTAAGTAATTATAGAATAATAATAATTATGTAATGTAAATATGCAGTAAATATTTTTTTTTATAAAAAATAATTTATGAAAATAAATCGCAATTATAATCAGTAACCATTCGCCGTTTCAACCAGGATTTTGCTTTTAGCACTCCTAAAACATATATTGTAAAATATGTTTACTAAATACCGCTATCAATCAAATATAATAATCAAGGGCGAGGAGCGGGCAAGAATAACTGGCAAGAAACTCTCCGCAAATCTTTTAAATCGCCAAGTTTTGAGTCATACAAATTGTTTGAACTGGAGCAAATCAATCCCAGGGATTAGGATCATGTAAATAATCGTCAAATTTATAAAAAGCTTTATTGATTAATTTACGTTTAACGAGAGTTTTGAATTTTTTCAGTGATAATTCTCTAATTTCGCTTTCCGAGTTTATTGTAAAAACGAATACAATTTCCATATAAGGAGTGGTTAATCTTCTGGAGCCTAGTTGGTCGTACGCTTTAATTAGTTCTGTTCCGAGTATTATACTGGTGAATGTCACCTTTTTTTTTCAAAATCGTTTATATGTTTTTTATACATACAACAAGGCTTCAATAATATATTGAGCAGATAGTGTCATAATAATAAATTCCTTAAACTTATTCCGTACCGACTCCTTTGGAGAAACACAACAAATACCCCGAACAGTTACAACACTTACAAGAATTATTCAATTTTTTGAGATAAAAATATGCATTAATAGTCGTGAACATTAGTTAATATATAAAAATTAGGTTAATTATTAATAGCGTAAAAATATTTTAGTTTCGAAGTTATAAAATGAAGTAGTAAAATCGTTACACGATAGTATTATTACTAATAATATTTTTTAAATATTTTTTTAAATTTTATCATTTATGTGATATAATAATAACGACTTACTTATTCAGAGTACGGATCTGTAAAACAAACAGATTTCCACACATTTTGTAGATTTTTTTCAAACAATTTACGTGAATATTATGTATTAAACTTAAAAACAATGATCGGTTCGCCAGGAAACGAACCAATTTAGCTTTAACGAATGTTAATATGTTTAATGCAGCTTAAATTGTTTTATGATTTGAAATAAGAATATTGAATTCAAATAAGTGTCAAACAAACTCGTGACAACAAGAGTAATAGAAAGGCCGAAAAAATCCTATAATTTGCTACACTTTGATGACATTTAGTACATGTCGACGGTGATGAACGGTCCCGTTCGTGCTTCTAGATGGCCTTGTTAAGTAAATATCAACTTCCCGGACGGCCTTCTTGCACCGGTTTACAAGACCGCCCTTAGTTTTGAGATAGCTTTATATAAATACGATAAGAGGCATTGTTTCGACATCAGTTCCTCAACCGAACAACACAGACCAAGATGTTCAAATTGGTGGTGTTGTCTGCTCTCCTCGCTGCGGCGGTGGCTACCCCAGGAGCTTTTATTACTCCATTCGCCCCGCTAACTTACACCTCTACGGTGGTATCCCCAGCTACCACAACTATCACAAACCAGGCCAGCAGTGTCATCCACCCATCACCTCTTGTGTACTCTTCACCCTTGGCGTACTCCGCATACCCAGCTTACACGCACTTGATCAAGAAGCGGTCTGCACCTTTGGCTGTTAGCACCTACATCGCGCCGTCACCCTACTTATCTCCATGGACGACATACTCTGCACCCATCACGACTATTGCTGCATCGCCAATCGCCACTGCCTACACTTCGCCGTTCTACAGGACTGCCCCAGTACTTGCCACGACGCATTTCATTAAGAAGCGGTCTGCGTCTCTCCTTGTGCCATCTACCTACATTGCACCAACATACGCCCGTTTTCCCCTGGTATCCACCTACGCCGCAGCCTCACCTATTATCTCGACCCCTCTGATTTCCCATGCCCCCATTGCATACACTCACTTTATTAAAAAGCGTTCAGTTGCCATTCCCTTTATCGCCCCTACAGCTTACTCACACACTTCCAGAGTAGACTTCCGGTCAACTCCAGCAGTATCTACTTACACAACCTACTCCGCCCCTCTCACCTACTCCAGCCCAGTTCTTACCCACTTATACTAAAATTAAAAATACCAAGTAATTTGCTGAAGCCCACACTTTATGGTTTCAGTCGGAGTTCAACTGAAAACATAAAGAATGTCAAAATTATCCTGCAACAATAATAGCACTAGAAATTGTACATACTACTTTTAGATGATGTTAATAAAACCAGAGCGAACTTAAGACATTTTTTTATTTATCCTAAAAAAAATTAGAACATTCAACATTAAAACAGTTTTAAATAAAATGAATGACCATAAAAATAGATAAAATGGAATTTAAACCGTCAAAAATCCATAGCACAGAGTTTAAATAGTAGTTAGATACTACAAAATAAATATAATTATAGTTAACACTAATCAAATAGTTTGCAACTTATACATTATTCTTATAATTTAACCAGCCTTGCGATTCTGTAACTCACTTTTTGAACTCTCACAGCGATGTTCGCAGCGGCGGTCGCGCTCAAATAAGTCGTGAAGCAGTCATTTTACGATTTGGCATTCTGATAAACAATAAACTACAAGCTCCCTCCGCTTGTCAAGAAGTAATGTGAAATTGCTTAACAGAATACCATGAGATTCCAAAAATGGAAGGGAGCGTTGTTAGTGCGAGGTGAACTCACGGATTAACAGAATCGCACGGCAGATCTAAATTTTCTTTTACTTTTTAAATATTATTTTTCCTATATCTGGTGTTCTAAAGCTCTCCTTAACGGCAGGTTACGAAAATGAAAACGCAATTGTAGTTAAGACTGCATTATGTATTGACGACACAACACTATCACTTTTTCCCTCATAGTTGGCCCGAAAGCCGATGGTCTATTAATTATTATTGGTGTTATTAAATTAACTTTAATATCAATTCTCGATTGATGTGACTCTTGGCGACGCGTGTACGAATGGCAGTTGATATTCTATACCGGACACGACGAATAGACAAAATACAAAAAAACATCTTATGGATGTTACGTTACTCACGAGGTCGAGGTTCTATAGATAAGTAACGGTAGATGCGCAGGATTGCGCGATCGTGATTCAAGTTCTCGGTCGGAGATGACAGGTTGTTACATCACTTGGGGCAATAGCCTGATTAAGATGCACGCATGTTTATGAATGATTTAACTACGTTATGCCTTTATGCCTTCCATTAATTTATTTAACCGTACATAACTAGTATTAAATTAACATACTTTATTGCGCATTCAATTAAGTGAAGAGTGTCTAGAATTGTCATGCGCCTGTGAGTTTTTACTATCTTGTTATATTTAGTCTACACTCAAATAGCCAAATAAAAAAACGTGAGTCACCTTAGTCCTATCTAATAATACTTCTAATCACCGTACAGCCTACAAAGAGTTAAATTCCGTCTTTTTGTTAAATGTTCAGAGAGTGTGACGAATCTATTATTATCCACTGAGCCCTGTCACCTCCAAATAGTAGTATAAGAGGAATAGATTTGACAAGGCGTGTTAGTGTTCTGAGTATCACAAGCGCTATCAAACGATTAATAATGTTGAGGCTTCTGTGTCTTTGTGCATTTATCGTATTGTCTCACGGCTATGCAGTACCGGCCGTACACACTGTTGCTGTGCCAGTTTCAGTGCCTTATGTAAGTCACGGATATGGTGGTCATGGTTATGCTGGTCATGGATATGGACAAGGCCATGCTTTTGGACATGGGTTACCTCATCATGGACACCATATTTGGAAGAGATCGCCTTACTATGTCCCCACGCATGGTAGCCTTGCACCGCATATTGCTCCCGTTGCTGTGTCCCACCAAGCAAGAATAGACGTTCATTCATCCCCTGTAGTTGCGGTTCCTGTTATTAAACAAATCGTAGAACCTTTCGTACCACTTCATAAACCTATTGGGCACTATGGTGGTGTTTATGGACATCCTCACTTAGGGTATTACTAAGCAACGAACTGCGCTGACTTGTTATTATATATTTAAAAAAAGTTTTGTAACACGGAAATAACTGTTGTATAAAAAATATTAATAAAAAAATATTAATGTATTCACAGTCTTTTTATTTGAGAGTACAATGAGCAAATATCTTTACTTCTGAATTGTCTAACTATAATTTTCAAATTTCAATATTCTGTTTGGTATAACTACTTAATATAACTCAGCCATTTGAATAATGATTTTCGATTCTGATTTAGAAATGACATAATTGTAAATTGTAAAATTGCAATAGACTTTTATTTCAATAAAATTCACCAGTACATTTGATAATGGTGTAACAAAACAATTTGTCGAAAATAATTAATATTTACAATATATACAAACATTTTTTTAAAGGTTCGAATTAGGCAAAACAATTATTTTGTAAATAATCAATTAGATCAGGTTTTCGGGAATGCATAAACTAAAACAATGTATTTTGTTAATAGAGGGCTTTAGCTTGGTAATGGGCAACGCGTGCAGCGACCACTTCTGGTGTGTCTAAGGGTACACCGTGTACGGGATCCAAAACGACAGCAGGGGAACCAGGAGCCTGGGCTAAAGTTGAGTAGGCGGGAACAACTGGTGCGTAGGCTGCGCCGTAGACTGCTGAAACGGCGGGAGATCCATGGACAACGCTGCTGCTGTGTTGCGACACGGAACTAACAGCTGGCGACACCACAGAGCTGTAAGCTACAGGGGCAACGGCACTGTAGGCTACTGGCGCTATATTGTAGACTTCTGGGGCTACAGCGCTGTACGCAACTGGGGCCACATTGCTGTAGGCCACTGGGGCTACTAAAGAGGGCTTAGCCGCCGCCACAGCAAGCACGCAGAATAAAACCACTGACTTGTACATGGTGTATGTTGCCTGACCAACGAAATTAGATCAAGTGATGATATGTTTGTGCCAATCTCAGTTTATATACCGTAAATTGCCTAATCACCTATAAAAATGCCACTAAATCACCTTCATCAAATAACACGTCTAAAGTTTTTTGTTGCCGAAATCGAGACAATTAATAACTATTCTATGCGGAAGCATTGTACTTAGTTGATATATTTCATCAATATTCATTATCTATATGAATCTGCATATTATGGTAATTGACAGGTAGGAGTTAAAACATTTATTATCAGTTAAATAAGAAAATATTTAGTTTAGTTTAGTTTCAGTTATAACGTTTGTGTTGGTGACACATAACGTTATAACTGAAATGATTGGACTTATATTATAGCATATTACCTACTCGTATTCTATAAATCTGTGGTGAATTCAGGTATAAATCAAAATTGTTTGCGAGGTTTTAGTATATGTTTAAGAGTGATCTGTAACCAAAATCACTCATCGTAGATTTGATTTGATTTAGGTATGTCATGTTTGAATTATAAACAGTAAATGTGTATTGATCCTTTACTATAATTTCAATGGTTGACTGTAATAAAAAATACAATATAATATGAATTCCCCGATACAAAAAAAAATCACAAAGTCACCTCTAACTTTTGTCTAATTTCGTTTTTATTCAATCATGGCGAGTGTTATAAAGACAACAATTAATTTGTATTACCGCACATCAGTTTGGCCGAGAGCTGTTACTAGCGATTTTATTTAATATTGTAATTTTACGAGTTATTTAAATTAAAACCATTTGGCGTTTATTTGATTTTTGTTCCGCAAGACGTCCGTCCGTCCGCGTATTGTCCGTCTCATCACACTTGAAATACGAAGTACGAGCGTACGTTTGTTTCACTAGTAGACGAGAACACTGCGCTACTTCGTGCCAGCGCTCGATATAATACTATATTAATTACTACGAGTAAAATAAAATCCATTCCCGAAAACTATACTTAACACTTTCGCATTTATATATTAGTAAGAATATATAGTACGTAATTATTCAATTTAAAAAAGATTCCATGAAATTTCAAACCAAACAAAGTGTATGTAAACTAAACAGATGCTACTTTATGATTTTATTGAAAATGATACCTTTATGATTTATTTTACGTGATACCTATATAATTTTATTTGTCGCCGTTAGGTGTCAATAAGTAGATAAAACAAATCAACGGTAGTATTACTACAAAAAGTTGAAAATAATAGACGAAAAAAACTCGTTCTTATAATTTTGCTAGCTTATATAAAATAACAGACAGACAGTGTCATCATTATCGAAACAATTTTTAGAATCGATTTAGTAGTTATAGAGATTACTCTTACAAATAAACTAAAAAAATAATTACAAAACAATTAACTAAGGCGTAGATAGGTTTACATTCGCGGTATTCCCTTTGCTATGGGGCTAATCATTCCACGTGGTTAATCTGGTACTCGGCACTCTGGCACTTAAGTAAACCACATATTAATATTTTAACTAATTATATTGCATATACTAATGCCCTCGAGTTTATACTATATATGCGCACCCGTTGCGCCACGGTGACCGCGTTTGTCATTAAAGGAGGCGCGCGGGTAAAATCATAAATTTTGCTAGCTTATATAGTGCTCTTCATGTCATTTGTCAAAATCTTAAATATTTTATTTTTATATAAATTAAATTTAGAGCTATATGTAGACATGTAAACTATCCTTGATAGTCGTGGCGTTAAAATGCATTGTCTACGGATATTCGAAGCTCTATCATAGTTTATTGTCGGTGTTTGTATGTAACTTACATATTTTGGCGGGAATGATACACACGAGGCATTAACTGTGATCGAAAAGTTATAAATACTGTATAATAACAAATTAAAAGTAGGAATTAGGCTAAAAATTAAAATTACATTAGCTGAGGATTGGCGCCATACTTCTATTTAAGTGTACACGCGTTTTATTGTTATTTGTATTTGTATTTTTTATTTTTATTACTTTTTTAATGTTTCAATAACTACAGCGACTAGTTGCTGTTGTTTTTTATGTTATTACATACAATTTTATCTACTCCCTTAATAAATTTAGCATCGACATTCGTAAAGCAAAATCTGTATTATAATATTCTTACGGACGTTGTATTATTCAATTACTCAGGTAAGTGGTTCTTATGAATTGCATCGTATGTTATACATACAAAGAAACATTCATTCATAAAACCTTCATTTGGTCTCATGGAGTATATAATGGATTTCGATTTTGAGTAGATTTAAAAATGTATCAGATAAACAGAAATGTGTCTGTTTTAATGTCACGGTGTACGGGAGATAAAAATAAGTCACTCAACTACCGATATATGGCCCTCATTCTCTTCATTTAATAGAGCTTTAAACGTATATTGTGTTACAAAAAGTGTCTTTAGGCCCCTAAGAAATTAAATGTTATATTTTCATAAGATGTTTTTAAATTGATATCTAAACCTTGCGTTAGTATCTAATATACATACAATATTTATCACTTTACTTAATAGATTTTAAGCGGGTCGCACGTGTTATCAAGCTCGTGTAGACTGCGAACCACGACATAGCTTCAATGTTTCGATTTCTTAACAAAAGACCATATCTGTCCACACGTAATCTTAATGCAATCTGATAGGTACCTAATACGAGTTTGTTTACGTCACCGGTAAAAATGCTTTTGCGTGCAGATATTATCACATACCTTTTATGATTATTGTGACGTATATTCAGTATTTAGTGCACTTCCCTATTTATAATGTGATAAAATAGTTCTCTATTTAAAATGTGATAAAATAGGTAACTGTCTCATGCTTAGCATATAAAAATAAATAAGGTATTACATTTCTATGCTTACTGTGCTGTACTATATGTGTGTTATATGTGATGTCTTAATGTTACGGAAAGAAATCAAAATAATTTGTAATTGTTACAGTTTATTTATATTTTTATTGTACTACTTGATCGACTCATCTGAACCGAAAAGTAAAAACCGAGAATAATTTTTTTTTTTGAATTTCTAATGTTAATACTTCTCACTTTTGTGATGGTGTTCACAGCACTCTTGCGTAGTATGGTGCTGGTACGCCGTAAGTGGAGAAACGCGGCACAGGGGCAGAGTAGACGACGGGAGAAGCGGCGTATGTCGAGACAATGGGAGTAGCGTAGGAAGAGACAACTGGAGCAGCGATAAACTGGGCTGAACGTTTGTGGATGGAGTGAGCCTCGGCCTCAGCCTGAACTTTAGCTTCTAAGTGAGCAGCGCGGGCAGCGGCTACCTCAGGTGTTTCTTCGGGGGCAACTGGAAGAGCGGCAGGAACAACAGGCGCAGCAACGGCTGGAGCAACAGCAATTGGTGCAATTTCAGCAGATCTGAAGACTGATGGCGCCACAGCGGCTATAGCTGAAGGTCCGTATACGGACGCGAATGGAGCGCTGTATGCAATAGGGGCAGCGGCAACGCTGTTCAACCATGGAGCGGAGGCTACAGTGTTTATAACAGCTGGTGAAGTCTTAATGTCTACTCTTGACTGGCTTGATACGGCAGATGGGGCGATGGCGACGGGGGCAGCAATGGCGGCGGGAGCAGAGTATGCTACTGGAGCAGCGGGAGCAGAGTATGCTACTGAAGCAACGGGAGCAGAGTATGCTACTTGAGCAGCGGGAGCAGAGTAAGCTAATTGAGCCAAGGGAGCAGAGTAGGCTACTGGGCCAGCGTACGCAGCAGGGGCGGCTACAACAGCAGCTTGTTCAGCAATGGCAGCGCGAACTACAGGGGTGATTGTCTCGGATACAATAGCTGGAGTCGACTTGATGTCCACACGGGATTGATGGGAAACAGCTGATGGGGCAACAGCCAATGTTGGACCAGAGTAGCTGAGCACTCCCGGTCCGTAGACCAGCCCAGAGGGAGAGGCGGCTGCGAGCGCCATCACGGAAAGCAACACCACCAGCGAGTTCATCGTGGTCTGTGTAGGTTCAAGATTGAGGTACAAAGATAAACTGATGCTTTCTTCCACTTGTCGGACGTATTTATACAGTGGTCTAGATCAAGTTCCAAATGTATTAAAAGTCAAGTTCAACACGTCGGTTACTCATCATATGAAAGTTATTCTTTGCATGCAAGTGAGGGGCGGGTAAACTAGTTTCCGGACTTAATATAGCCTGTTATGTTTTGATACCGGCTTGGCAATAATAAATCTTTAATAGTCAGTTTGTTTTTTGTAGTTACGAGTTCATATTAGTAGGAATATTAGCAAGTAACTAAACAAGTATTGTTAAAAGTTACCAAAAAGTTTATAATTTTTAACAGTAGTAATAAAATTAAAACAAATTTAAAAAGTTTGGTCCCTGTGGCAAGGTGTGCCTTTAACTGGCAGCATTTTCTCGTTATTTGCGAGACTAAAAAATGGGGACAAATACATTTAGTAATATATACAGTGATAGTATTGTTATACATTGTTAGGTGGCCCATATACTACAAGTAATGTAAATATGTAGAAAAATTAATAAAATATTGTCACCTATTCTCTTACGAACAATCCATTAGTTAGCCAAACCTTTTAGTATTGGACATTAGAATAGTATATTATGTATCTTATTATATACTCACATTGACGGCATCCTACTTTACAGAACCTGTCATTCTTTGTTATTCAATTTAAGTTTGGAATTATAACTCTAACATTTGAGTACCTAATACTAATAGGACAATGCATTAAAATGTAGTAGTAATTTTTATATATAAAATGTATGTACAAATATAATGTCTGAAAGTCTTTATAATGACGAAATAATTTGCGTTCTTACGTCTGACATTTATTGTATTGATAAATTAATATATTTAATAATGATATAATTCATGTCCTTTAAAAAAAGATCAGTCGATAATGCTCTGGATTATTTTTGTAGCGGTGCTCGATAAAACAAAATGTTAAGGTTTTTGCACGTCGACCTTGAAGGCTTTCATTCCGTATGGACAGTGGCCACTGGGAAATACCTATTCAATTATTATCTACGTATATATTAAGTAGTTTTTACTAATCAGAATTTTGTTGTTATTTTATGAATAACCAATTCATGGATTCTCTTTAACTTTTTAGTCAATATTAATTAAGAAATTACAATTTCTTTTTAAATGTAAATACTGTTATTTTAAACGAGAATTTTGAACATTGAAATGTGTCAACATTTTTTACGGTCTTGTAATTTCAAATAACATATAAAGACTCAGATTTCTGAATCGGTTTCATGATCATTTATCTAGTAGGTAACAGGCCGTGCCTGACATCGACTTTTTTTGTCTAAGCGAGCGGGTTTCCTACGATTTTCCATCTGTTCGGAATGCAAATGCGACATGGAAAGAACGTACATTGGTGACGCTCAGTGATGAGTCCTGATGCGAGAGTGAGAGGTCGCACACTGAAGCCCTCAGGGCAGCACTGCTCATCTGTAATCTCAACAAGTGATATAAATTGTTGCATTTATTTATTCGTTAAGTAACTAAAGTAGTAAGAACAAATCATTATAAAAGTATTGATATCGTTAACATATAAGTGTATTGAGCGGCATAACCTGTAACAACTGTTGATATATTTGTAACAAGTACATACCCTATATAGTATATACGGTATGCGGAATATATTCTACCATAAAAGGATTCAACCTCAATTTATACACAATCATTATTCACTCATGACAATACAAGAAAATGCACCTGTATCAATAAGCGTTCATTATGCATTTATTTCTCGACATTAAGAACACCCGCCGCCATCTATCAACCTTTAAAAGAGGAATTTAAATTATCGACACTTCCGACACAACAAGTACTTTATTAACTTTAACCTATAATGATGAATGGTTTAATTATTATCAGTTATCAGTCTGGGTTGGTAGCACATCTCGGTGTATAATATTAAAACATCGGCTTCAATTTTCAGCGAAATTTTTTTGGGTTGGAAGACAAAGATTAAAATGATTAAGAAACAAAATATTGATTCAAATTGCTACCTGAAATATTATTTAAAATATCTTGAACTGAATTTAAGCTCAAAACAAATTATAATGTTTATGCCTTTTTGTATAAATATATAATAATATTAATTCAAATCAATCAATATCAAAATATGTAATCGCAATTTATTATACCTTCTATTTCACTCCTTAAATCTTTTCCTTCCATAAGAAAAGCCGGTATGAGTAAACGTAATATAAATCTCTAGAGTCTCTAGGGACTCTAGGGACTCTAGGGTCACTATAAATATAAATCAATAAAGATGAATAGAAATCCTAAACTAAATTATACTTATTCCTTACCTTACCTTGATTTCGCTTATTTATGTAAATTGATTTGGCGGGCTAGGAGTAATGAAACACGTAAAATGCATTATAAACCATTTAATTGAATCATTTGAGATGTTAACAATAATTCTTAATTAATTTTGACTGTTGCGGTGCTTGACGAAGACCTGGTGTTCTGGTCGCAGTGGGGCAAGGTTTCGGGGCTTACCATCCGTGGGCGAAAGGTGCGGCTAAAACTGGACCATGGGCGGCTACGACGGGAGCGTGGGCTACTGCGAGAGCTGGACCGGCGATCTGGTGTAATCAATTTTTAATTTTTGACTAATATAATAGATACATGGAAATTTACGAAACATTTTTGTCTAACGAGGCAGGCACTGCACTGAATGGTTAACACCCTCTAAAAATATTTACTAGTAAGTATGTCGAAGATGAGGCTGACTATAAAAAAGCAACTGATTTATGGTGGAAAGTTTTAAATTCATGTAAATAATTCCACCTGAAGTATACAACTTTCTTATAACTTAGTACAACTACCAATCTTTTTAATGAAAAGAAAAACAGCATTAGCTATATCAGTGAATGCCTAAGGCGTCTACTATGCTTTTACTAACTCTAACAGTGTTGGCGTATGAGGTGGCAACAGGAACAGCAGTCCTCACTATCGGGGCGCTGACCACGGGGGCTACGCCGATACCATGGCCCCATGGGGAAGCGAGAGGAGCACCGTATAAACCAGGGGCTGCGGCGGCTACAGCCAAGAAAGCAGTGAATACGATCTGTAAAAATAATCATTGTTTACTAAATGTAACTATTGCCTACGTGACAAATTATTATATTGTAGTTAAAAGATCGTGTAACAGCAGTAAGCATTGTGTTTTAACCTATGAAGAACTGTGTATATTACTCAAAAATGTGTCTTAAATGACTTTGTCTATTAATAAAAACCGCATTAATTGTTGTTTTGTTGTGTAGTCTAGTCACTAAAAATCATTTTTTATATAGCTATAGTATAGCCCTTGGTGAGGGCTGCAGCGCGCGTTGAGACGCGGTCTCAACTCGCTGCGCGCAGCCGATCGGGGTGAGGTGTTTTACAGACAGGCAGGAGGCTCATCTGATATTAAGTGCCTAATATACGTCAGAAGGGTCCGATAGTGGTATGAATTGGTTAGTGTCTTAAGAGACCTGAATTGGTTTGGAATTGTAAGTGTAGGCTCGCCACGCTAAGAAAAGGACTAAACAGAGTATCACGGCTTGTAACTTCACGAGCGTGATAAGTGTTGTTCACGCTTTATTTCACTTCGGTTAACAATAAGAGTCAATTTAACTATGTGCGACACGTTATTGGCAATTGCTCATGAAGGATGACAACCATGTAACTAAGGCGCTAAAGCAAATTCAATTATGCACACTTAGCTTCGACACTGATTATTTTAGTCAACATAGTTAATACAATTCGTATGCGCTTCGAAGAGTAATCTGATGAATTTGTCGCTGGTATACGAGATTCCCTCTAGGAGGTAAAACTTGTAGGCAAAAACGTCTAAACGTTTTTAAGTTAAACCAATCCAGCATCTATGAAAGCTGACACTGTGCACTAAAAATATAGTGATGTGTTTAAAATAAGATCGAGTCGTAGAACTATTTTCAGTACTAGATGACCCGGTAAACTTCGTGTCACCTACATATATTTGTGGCTATACTTTCGATTCGAAATGTTTGAATAAGAACAAAGAGATCGGACCTGATACTCAGCTATGAAACACCAATTTCTAACAGCTATTTAAATTTATTTTTACATTTGATTCGCACCGTTTCAACCATCCTTTGGAATAAACTTCCACAAATATTTACAGACCATAACTAGCCAAATCGGTCCAGCCACTCTCCAGTTTCAGCGAGGCAAACGAACAGCAATTCATTTTTATATATATAGATTATGCTCCGAGGAATATATTACCACTTTAAAATATTGTTAAAACCATATTAGAAAAAAAAACAAGTTAAAAACATATTTTTAATCTTGCCTTTCATAAAATTAACAAGAAAGGATACGAGTTACATTTTTATTATCGTTGGCATTTAAATCGAATTATCTATTTAAGTGACTACTCGAGAAGGCATTAAAAATCTCTACCGGCTAGCTACAGAGGTTGACCTCGTCAGGTCGTTGCCGCGTCAGAATGTCAAGTTCAATAAAAAAGCTTAATCCGTGCAAAAATATACAACGATATCACTTTCACGTTTGAGGCGAAGAATGATTGATGTTATCCTTATACGAAATTCTAGCGTAATTAATAAACGTTTCTTAGGTTTAATATTCTTAGGTATATTAATTATTTAAAGCATGATAAGGAACTTGAAAAGTTTAAAAGTTACTTGTTTGCAAAGTTAAACCTACTTAAAAAACTAGTACAAAAAGCTATAACCGTGTTGCTTAATTGGCGAACCAGTTTAAATATCGAACAGGCTATTTATTTTTAATTAAAACATTTCTTACCAGTTTGTACATTTTGAAGGGATGGGGTTGTCTTGAAGTTGTTAAAGGAGATGTTAGACCAAATGTGCTCTGGACAGCAAATGTAGTGCTTTTATAGTGCTTAGCCACATGCTTGGTCTAAATGAGTAGCCCTACCCGATACTGGGCCTAGGTCATAGATAACTTAAGGCTAGACTATAGTAGAGTTAGCACAAAAATATAATAATTAAATTTTGAAAAACTTAGTAATAGTGCAAAAATCTAATTATTATTTCAGTTTCAGTATACATATAAGAATATAGACCATGAAATAATGATAACAATCATAAGTATAATTTTTAGTTAAAATTTCTAAATTATTCAAATTAAGAACGTTCCGAGCAATCAGTATTGAGGTGTTATAATTTGGTAAATAAAAGAATAAATTTGATTTTGCGACGGAATTTATTTTATGTGTTAAAATTATAATATATATGCCAATTGCCTATATTTAGTTCAAATGCAAAAAATAATAACAGGTGTGGTGAACATTCTTCATAAGTTGCTTTACCTTTCAAAACGATAAATCGCATTTTAGAACGTGGGTTGCCAAGTATATTTACTGTATTTTCTTATTAGTAATGTTTGGTACTTATTACATCAGAAACTAGCCTTCATTTTTCTCAACGTTGAAAGCTCAAGAATGTTGCCATGTAATTGTTATTTATTAATTGGTATCGGTACATAAAATTAAGTTATCAGTACATAGTCCCCAACAAACAAGATGCAATGGTTTTTTCTGATACAATCGGCCAATCTAAAACCAATATTTTAACAATTGGCACTAGGATGTTGCAATTATTTACGCTTGAATATTTTTTATTTGTTTTTTAACAAGAGTTTATTCAACTCTTTTTGTGAAATTGTAACGCCAAGACGAAGAAACCATTTATCCTTTGGCAAAACAGTGTAAAAATGGGCAACTGCGTGGCCGACCTTTTAAGAATTTTTTCATAATAAATTGGTCTATTTCGGAAATATTTTTATTTTTACCTACCTCAGATGTTATGTATTGTAGTGTTTTAAAAAAAATCAACAATATCAGCGAATATTTACAAAGGTCGCAGAGATCAAACTTTTTAAATTTATTTTAGTTTTCTATTTATCCTATTTCAATTATTTTTACTACGTAGGTTAAGAATATTGTAAATATACATTAGTAAATCACCAGTCATGAAAATTAATCTAAGAGTTATATATCAACACGTTAAATTTATAAAATAATAAATATATCTTAGGTTACTCCGTATATTGCATTTTAAATATATAATTTTTCAAGTTTTAGAAGACTAGATACAAAAATGCATTTGTGCACAGTTGGTATTCAAACGCACAACCTCAGAGTAGCGAGCTTAGCTTGACTAGCACTGCTCGAAAGTAACCAAATTGAATATGAATTATTATTTAAATTAATATCTGCCTTGCGATTCAAATCGTAAAATGACTGCTTTACGGCTGATTTGAGCGCGACCGCCGCTGTGAAAACCGCTGTGTCTGGTCGAAAAGTGAGTTACAGAATCGCAGGGCAGTACTTGCTCTACTAACTTGTAATATATTAAAATTAACAAAATGTAGTGTAGCCTATAGAGTAAGGAAGAAATAATATATTCTTCCCCCCGCTGAGTGGTCAGCCTAAAGGCTACAGAGGCTGATTTATAGATATTGTATATATGCTCGATGGTCGGAAGTACTTTAAAAGCGCGAATAAAGGCAATAATGTAAACTGCCGATGGTAGAGCCCTTACTCTGTAACCTCCAATAGGCACAGCCATAACGATCCAGACGTTTTTGTATGAAAGCACGATAGTAGTTCTTTTAATATCCGTAAACTTGAAAAGTCACGGCACAAAACCTCATTATTGAGATCGGGATCGCTATCGGTAACTACAAAGAAAGTGCCCAGGTGTCGCTACAGAAGTTAGCTACTTAGCTACTTTGCTTTTTGTTAAGAATAAGCATAATTTTATTTTAGCATTTTATTTTTCTATCCATACTTACCCTTGCTTATAAGTATAACTTACTTATTTTAATTCCACATACAATATAATACTACAAACCAATTTAAGGCTGTTAATTGGAATGAATGGTTTTGATCATTTATTGATACTACCTATATACCTATATCTTGTCGCAAGAAATCATAGATTGATGAGTAACATATTTTTAAAGTAAATAACTGTGTTAAAACTTTGAAAATAATTATAACAATTGTATTCATTCATATACTAAACTCAAAAATTGCAGTCTCGGTGTTTTAACAGATTTGAACTTAATTATAAAAAACGGGTCACACCGCTCGACTGTAAAACAGGTCAACAGCGTCTCGAGACCAATCAAAATACAACGACACCAATAGTCCCATTTTTCGGAATAATATCCCTAATATTTAGAATTACCAAAATTAGAACCTAATATGCTTATAACCTCAAACTAAAAGCAATTATACAAAATAATTATTATAAGCATATTTATTTAATTAAGGGTGTTCACTTAAACTCTATGTTAGGTTAGTTAATTACTAATGAAGACTTGAGTAGGCATCGTAGGTCTAATTATATTAGTAAAATATTTGTTTTTCAGGAATCTGGATTGTGAGGACAATAAAGGATAAACACACCTTTAAGTTAATGCTTAGTTTTATAAAGGATCAATATTTTTTAATCTTAGTACACAGTAAATACCGATTACAGCTGTTATCTCGTGAACTAAAATTTAGTGGCTTATATGATTTGAGTTACATTGAATTACTTTAACTGATCTCTATGATATAAATTAAACATACAAGACTTCGACCACGACTGGGGCCTTTGTTTATTAAAACTTTAACATTTATTGAAAAATATTGAAATATGTGGTAAATTATTTATAATCCTGCAAAAGGGAGCGTTCAAGTACGTACGTAACGCAATTTTTGAAGATTATTGCCCCCCCCCCCTGTATCTCGCCGTAACGTTTTTCAGTACCCTAGTACAGTACTGTACTCAAGTATAGTTAAACTTTTCGTGACCACCTTGTGTCTCTTTAGTTACTATTATGTGGTGAAAGTCGAAAATAATATTAACAATAACGCGGAATTTACAAAATTAAATTACAAAAGGAAAGATACTTGAACGCTCCCAAAGCGTAAGATCATATATTTCGATGCTAAGAGTATGTTCAAAATGTATACATATAGCCTAGCTTCTATATAAAAATACATAAAATTAGCTACAAGTGAACATATTTCGTAGGACATTGACATACAAATACTTTCATTGTGACGAATATTACAAATCATTTCATTTGTTACATCGAAATGAAATTCCTCAAAGGAAACAAGTGAAGCGAGTAAAGATTTATGTTGTATTTACTCCATAATCCCTTTATTTCCACAATAACGTTTCTTGTCAATTCGGTAATGATTTATGACTGTCTGATAATGCCGCAGGTCAATGACTTGACTCCCAATTTTTTTGGTCTAATATTTCTTTAATATCTTATTATGTATTTATTAAGTGCTTGTTAAGCATAATTCAAAAAGGACTTAAAGAATTAGTGGTAGAAAAATTTCTGGGTCTATTTTTTTTAATGATAGGCTCTGAGCCCTAGATAAAATATTACTAGATTTGTTGACATGCTTCCGAATCCGTGGTATATGGTAATATGTATTAAGGTAAAAAAGGATATTTATAAATACAGTACGTTTACACAGCCTACAACTTTCGATTTACTAAATAAACCTAATTCAGTTAGTTTGATTTAATAATATAATTTCTGTATCTACTAAACACACCTGCCCTGCGATTCTGTAACTCACTTTTCGAACTCACACAGCGGTTTTCGCATCGGCGGTCGCTCTCAAATCAGTCGTGAAGCAGTAATTTTATGATTTGGCATTGTGATTAACAATAAACTACAAGCTCCCATCCGAATCACAAAACCGCTGTGTGAGTTCGAAAAGTGAGTTACAGAATCGCAGGGCTTTAGTTTTTAATAGTTGTTGACAGGAAGACACTTGATTTTTTTAATATTCTTGCTGGCGCTATTACTCCATTTTTTCTATCGTCAGTGGTACTAAATAACGTTTATTAATTTGATATTGTTTTATTATTACAAAAGCATTTTTTATTTACCTACATTATATTATGGTAGAACGTTTTCCATTACATAATAATTCTCAGTTATGATGTCGAAAAGAAAAGAAGAAGAACCTCGTTTCAAAATGTTAGTTACTAACTGACCAACGACTATTGTATCTTATAAAAAACAAAATAAAATACTTTTAAATATATATCTTGTAAACTTTATTACATATTATGTACAGAATTTAATACGTATATTTGAGCAAGTCACTAGGCAATGATATCACCAAATTTATAGGTAGTAAGGAGAGGCTAAGTATCTAGCTGACAGGTATGGGGAGGCTGGAGCAACTAATGGAGATGGGGCAGCAACGTAGGGTGATGCAGCAGCGACGTAGGGTGATGCAGCAGCCATGTGATGCATGTGCTGGAGCGGCAACGTATGGTGCGACAACTGGTGCATTTGCTATTACAGGTGCGGCAACAGCATGGTTAACAGAATGTGCGGAGTAGGAGCTGGCGTATGGGGCAACGGCGTACGCTGCAGCGGGTGCTACCAGGGCAGCTGGCGCAGCAGCTAATGGTAACACTCCAGCGGAGGCGACGGCGGTAATGGCGAGGACAACCTGGAAAAGAATAAAGTATGTATTGGGTTATTCCTTGTCTTCATAAAACACATTTATTTCAGATTCATGTTGCTGATGTTTTCTGGAATATCATTCGAATCTAAAAAAGTTCAAGACTATTTGTTTGATTTAGATCCAAAGTAGATAGAAAATTCAAAATTATCATTTTCACTCAAATTAATCTAGTTAACAGTAAGAGGTACCTTACGTTATATTAGCCTACAAATTAATAAAACTCACAAAGAATTTGGCGATCATTTTGATTAGGGAAGTGACTGCTCACAAGTGGTGTACGTAAAAGAATCCGATGGACTGTGTCGTCTTTTGGGGTGGCATTACAATATATACTGTGTGTCAATTTCATTGGGCAATAACACGGTTAAGGAATACATTTGGTATTACAGCAAGCAATCCGAGGCACTTAGCTGGCACACTGAGTTTTGACAGACGAGTGGTGCATGCTAATTTGAAGTCAGGACGCGTTTCACTGCTGCTTATGTAAGTTCCAAAATGGCTTCTTTGAGTATCCATCATGACACGCCGGATACTCTATAGTAATACTAAGCCATTTATTTCTGTGTTACTTGAATTGCCCTTAGTTTTACTGAACAGTCAAAAACAAACCCAAGATAGTTGGGCTTTATTGAAAATAAAATGCCATTTTAAAATTTTGTTAACAGTTTATTTATTATTATGCTACATCAACTTATTCCTAAAGATACTTATAATAAACAATATACAATAGAAATAATTCATATATACACTAAAGAACTTAAAAACAGAATACACTATTAAAACATCCCTTTAAGCAAGGTTAAGAATTGGGGGGCACAGTTCCCCTTTGAAGCTAGACAATTTTTTTCGAGGTAGCTATTCATTACGAAACTATTTTTTATTTATATTTGCCATAATATTCCTACAGATCTCACTAAGCAATTCCAAAGAATGACATTGAACACAAGCCTAAAATGAATACACTTCAAACATAAACATAAAGGACGCCATTTTTACCTATTCATACAAAAATATCAAACAAAGTTTATATTTAAATTAATTTTAATTCTAAGTTCTAAGATGCATTGATATTATAATAAATTTACTGAAGTAAATTTGTGGTTTCTTTTATTAACAGAAGCTTTATTAATAACGAACAACTTGAATTACTTTTAAACAGTTTATATGAAACATATCTATTTGCTGGTAATTTGTGTTATAATCAGAAGATATACGATACATGACTAAAATAATTGGGTTGTATTGTATGAAGAAGGGGTGTGAAATCGTAAAAGCGACAATAAGTCAGGGCAGTCAATTAAACCTTTGCAAATAGCGTGTAAGAACATCAGGTCGTATTGCTTACGTCTACATTCTAGACATTCAATACCAAAGTACTGCAGGAATCTATATTGCTACTACACTTTCGGAAATCCTTAAAACTTAAAAACTTTTTTTGACGTATTCTATTGCTACAATGTATTTCTTGAACATTGGGGACCAAACAGTGCATGCACATTCTGCTCCTAACAAAAGCAAAGGCTAAATTAATAGTTATATCACGTAAACTATGTAAGATCTTTAGTATTGACTCTTACAGACGTTCATACAAACTACTAATTGCTCGTTTCGAGGACATCAAAGTAAATTCTGTAAAAATATTTAATATCTCAAGTTTGTATTGTTTAAAGTAGTATTGAATCGAAAAAAAATTTCACAATTGTTTCCCAATATGCTCCATTTCTCCGAGCGCGCTTCCGAGAATCCCAATTAGCTTCCGCGATACGACAAATGTTTTTTATTCGTACGTAATTTGAATCGCAAACTACTACCATATAAAAGGCTATACCCATTCTTGTTAGTCAGTCATATTCTTTACGTCCTAAGGAAGGTACATCTCCAAACAAAATGCTTTCTTTCAAATCTGTAAGTTACTGATACACATTCAAAATATTACCATTAAAAAGTTAAAATTAACGAAGGCTGTAGTGAGTACGATAATATTGTGCCCATCTACAATTGAAACATAATTTCATTATGGCCATTTGGCCTAAATATTAGCAGAAACGTAATATTTTGTTAATTTTTATTTGTCAATAGATCGTGCTTATCGCTGCGGCTTTCGCATCAACCATCGAAGCCAGTGGAGTGGTGGGCGTTGCACCTGTAGCAGCACCACTAGTGGCACCAGCTCACATTGGTTATGCTCATGCTGTTCCTGACAATGTACCACCATACGCTTCCCAAGTTAACATTGAAAGCAGAGCTGTGAATGTGCCATATGCTGCACCCTATGTAGCTCCTTCCTTCTATTCCTCCCCCTACGTTTCTCCGTACTCTTTTCCAGCTCCCTTGGCTTCTTATTCTTCTTACCCATATGGTGCAGCTCCACTCGTGCGATCAGCCTACGGATTAGCCCCAGCATTTGTGCGGTAGATTTAAAGATATCATGAACTAAAGACTTGTAGCAATAATAAAGTTTTTTATATATTTACATGAGACTTTGAATGGCTTGTACTAATACAATATTACAAATATTTATAACATCCAATACTAAAAACTAAAATATATATATTAATATGTAAAATCACTAAAAAAAAGAAAAAGAATCGTCAATCAAAACTTTAAACTTTTCGAAATGTTGATGGGAAGTAATTATGAATAATATTATTTATCAGGTATTACACAACAATAGTTACTAGTTAGCCACATGGTTGTTGTATATCTTTAAAACGTAACCTATAAAAATATAAACGAGAAAAATATTTGAGTTTAATAACTCGTATATTTTTTTTCTTTATTAAAATTTTGAAGATTAAGATTAGAATATAGCTTATATTATATTCTAAATGTTAATTTATTTGTTCACTTTTTCTAAATGTAAATTTAATTTGTCCTGAATATGTTGTAAATTATAGATCGTCTTGATTCAAGACAAATTAAAGGAACAGGAATCACGATCACTTATATTTAAAATATAATTAAACCAAGCTTCAAGGAAATTAAATTGATAATATTCTAATTTAGTTATTTTATGCCCTTTAATTAAAACAAACATATTTTTAAATTTTAATTTATTCAGATTCGTACAAAAACAGCCTCATTATAAAACAGCTTTAACAACTGCTACACTATATAAAATAAAATTTAATCTAATATCTATGAGCTAGTCTAGAGTTACTTCCACGCAAATTGTTTGAGTATTGGGGCTTGTAGTACTGGAGGGCCAAACGCATAGGGGTAGGCTTTCGCTATGGCAACGGCAGGGGCTGGAGCTACAACCGGCGCCGGGGCTAAAGCAGGTCTGAGAATAGGTGAGAATGGGGCTACTGGTAATGCTGGAAGGGCTCTCGGATATAAGGGAGCAGGCACTGGGCCAAATCTTGGGTACGCGGGCCCGAATACTGGTGCAGGTAAGGGGGCAGCGAATGGAAGTGGCGCTGGTACAGGGAGAGGAGCGGGTACTGGGAGAGGCGCCGGTAACACTGGTGCTGGTGCCACTTGAACAGGCAACGGCGGTGGTAATATTGGTGCAGCGGCTAATGACGAAGCAACCGCTGGAAATCCTGGTGATATTGCGTGTATCGATCGTACAGGTGATGGAAAGCTGTAGAATGGAGCGTATCGCACTATTGGAAATGACCTAACGGCTGCTACATGTGCGTGGGGTGACAGGTGTCCAAAGCCGCTAGCTTGACAGCTAGCTATTAAGACAGCCATAGAAATTATCTGCAAGAAAATGTACTTATTAGCTACAGATTATTTGATTAATTTAAGAGATATATTGAGATTCTTTCAAATTATTGATACCTACGATCTTTGTGAGAGACATGGTGTCTACGACTTGATCAGTGAAGTGGTTATGTGGAAGTATATTAATGTATGTGATAGGAGACGTTATATAGTTACAACTGTTGCAAGCATTGTTTCTATATCGGTATCAAATGGTTTCACTTTTCATCGGCAGGACTTATGCATACCCAATGAGTGATGATGCGGACATTATGAGCACGGAATATGTCACGCACTTGACCATTGATGGGTTGTTTACATAACGTAAGTAGAATTGTAGGTTGTACGAGTTTCATAATATTGAGTCGTGCTTATGTACATTAAAAATCATTAAATAACAAAATTATATTTTTCTTCTAATATTTATAAAACTGAGATATAATCTTTTCGGAGAAAAGTTGTATCAAAGCTTCAAACGAAATTGTTATATCAAAGAATTAGCAACAGTGATTTTTATTAGGGGCCTATTATCGCCATTACAAAAGACTTTATTTTTGAATTAATTGTTCATTATGAATACATTTTCCTAAAGCTTCTAAGCATTCCAAGGTTAGCAAATTTTTAATGAGGTTTATTGATTACAAAAAGTTAAAACCCGAGTTTTTAATATGAGACGTTCATTACTCTATTATAAGAGTCGATCGTGTAATCTCTTTTTTTACTACTAAACGTATACCCAGTATTCAATATGAAGGTCGTATAAATCATAATTTCTATGAAATAAAAAACTATGCCGACAAAATTCAAATATTCCTTGATAGTTTTATGTAGGTCATTGTTGGTTGGTTTGTACTATAGACTGTAATCATAATGATAAACATTTTAATTCCAGTATTTTATCTTTACTTTGCATCAGCTGTAGTGGCAGGTATAAAATTGTTCTTTTTTTTCAAGGTACGTTCGCGGCCTTAAATTTAGTATAACATAATATTGATATTAAATATATCAATGCTACTAACAATGAATGGAAATTTACTACGAATCAATAATAAAATAAGAAAAGAGTAATGTGATCAGCCCCAGACGGCTAAGGTGGGTACACGTTATCGAGACATTTTAAACGTGACTATAAGTTACAACGATAGCAAATAATTTCGCAACTGTTTATTCTAAAATATTATTCATAAAAACAAAATAGTCTAATTTTAAGTAATGTGTTTATTCGCCTTTGTATTTACGCTGTATGAAAAGAGCGAATCAATGCTTTAGTTAAAAGTGTCAATGATTTAGTTGCTATCGTTTTTTAAATGTAATCTTTTATTTTTATTTTACGTGCCCTAATAACAATTTTTACATTTAAAAACACTATTTATGGAAAACTTTTATGCAGGTAATTGAAAAGTATCAAACATACATTATTTTTATATTACTACACAATTTCTTTCTGTTTCACGTAATAAAATGCTCATGTAGCTAAAAGGAACGTTTAATAAATCATTATACCAGTCTTCATTTAAAGGCTACAATTGGAGCAGGTGCTGCATAGGTTAAGGGTGCTGAATAAGGAGAAATTATTCTTGCAGCTGGTGCGAAGCTTGGAGCATAGGCCGACGCGTAGGCTGGGCCGTAAGCTGGTGCGTACGCTGGTGCTGCAATAAGCGGTGCTGAATAGACACCGTTGTAATTCCTAGCAATGTACTGGGAGCTGGATGCAGTGACAAATGGAGCTGGGGCGGCAGCTACTAGTGGAGCCGGTGCAGCTACCAACGGAGCGGGGGCGGCGGCTAGAAAAGCTGGCACGCTTGGCTTAGCAGCGGCGAAGGCAAGGGCAGCGAGGAAGACAATCTGGAATTAAATTTCAAAATAAATGACTTGAAATAAATTTATTTGTACAACCTATTTAATCGGTCTTAGCTTTAAGCTATCGGCTCTCCGCATTATTAAGTTCAAATAATAGAAATTAATAAGTAGGTAGTAGTCCTTTCCGATCATTTTGGTTGTTGTATGTTATTACAAGTGTACTGTTCGGTGACATTAGCCCGCTTTTATACAAATAAAGTAAGATTCACCTTGTATGTTTCATCACTGATTGCACTAGTTACTTAGACGCTGATCACGCATTGAGGGCGTACGCTTCATGTATAGGTATTACGAATATATATCACACTTCATGTGATGTAATAAATTTGGGTGCGTTATCCAGGTCGGAAAAAACTTATAAATTGAGGATATGTAAGTCGTAGAAGAATAATATTCTAATAGCTTTTTTATCAATTTGGAACCTTGATTATGTTCACGAACTTATGTACAATAGGTAGTATATGGCAAGTGTGTCTAATGAGTCTGTGTTCAAGCCAAATCAAAGTTACTGACTTAGTCCGTTCGAGTTATTAAAACCTACACATACGCCAAAAGCAGATTAATAGATCCTGAAGAAGTTAAACAAGATTACAGTTCTTTGATTTTCTGTTATAGACTGAAAGACTTTAAACTTTTTTGTAACAAATATTACAGTGAAATATTTCAATCATAATATTATAAAGTATATAAGTTTACCTACGCATAGATATTCCTCCTTCGGGTTATTTACGTCGGATAAAAAATATATTACAAAAGATCTAAGCAAACTTCGCTCTATAAAGTCATATGAATAGTTATTAATGGCCTGTATTTTAACTTGCTAATTGCTTTTTAAACCTTTTGCGGTTTTCTAAGATCTACATACGTTTGCCATCGTCGCAGATTAAATATCGCAAATAAATATGTATTTTTTTAAAGTTTATTTAATTAATTTATCCAAGATTAACTAAATTACAAACTACAACAAACCCTATATAAATAATCATCGGGTTTGTTAAGGTTACATTTCTCGTTTGGTGAGGCGTTACATGTCTCACCAAAACGATAAAAAATCAAAGTATACTATTATAGTTTGTAGTTCGAGATTATAGTTATAAGGGTGAAGGAGAATGAGGTCACTAAAGATATTATTGAAACGGCTTTGCTAATGAAGGTTCATAAGACCTAAGAAACAAGATAGGCATATCTTTGAGCTATCAGCTACGTTATTAAAGTTAAACTCGGTTAAAGCGAAGATTTAATATCAAAATTTCAGTCATATGATACTTCAAAGTCAGGCTCCTAATATAACTTTCACGCACAAACAAATATAGTTTAGTAGAGTTTGACGACTCATTGGTCTAGTGGTTAGTACCCCTGACTGCGAATCCATGGGTCCCGGGTTCGATCCCCGGCTGAGACGAACATCGATGTGATGAGCATTTGGTGTTGTGCTTAGGTGTTGGGTGTTTAAATATGTATTTATACGTCTATCTATATATAATATGTATGTATATCCGTTGCCTAGTACCCATAACACAAGCTTCACCAGCTTAGCATGGGGCTAGGTCAATTGGTGTGAATTGTCTTTAAAAAAAAAAAATATACATACTTCTCACGCCAGAGTCTATGAGCGTCAATATATCGCCCTGAAATTTTCTAATATTTCATTAGTTTTTTGAAGGAAATTGGAAAATTAGGTAAGGCTAATAACTTCACGTTTGACAGTTTTACGCGCCAAAAAATCTGAAATACCAATGTTATGTATAAATAATTATCATGAATACTTTTGCTTATTTTTTAATGTCAGACACGGATATAGAACATAGTTAAAATCGAGTAAATTTAAATTGCCATCTCTGTTTCTAATTATGTGACTGCATTTTATCTATTTCTTTGCTTTCTTAATTTTACACAAATTTAGTGGCTTTTAAACAAAGTTAAAATAAATTACTTAGCCACTAGCTTACTTTTACGAGTAAGCTCTTTTTATTTTAGACTCGATTCATTTTCGCAAGATAAAGTCACATCTGTGAGTAGTGCGTAGCCATCTTTATCGACCAAATTTCGTTCATTTTAATTTATTTCAGTAATAGTATTAAAGTAATTACAGTTGATATACAATTCTGTACCAGTTTCAGAGGAAGTTAATAAAAACGTATACTTTTGTTAAAGTTAGAAATCATTGATGTTTGTTAATAAACATACAATACAAGATGTGCGTCGCATATCACAGTAATGTATGCATAAATGATAACTGTTTATCATAATATTAGTTATGAATGCAAAGAGAAAATCATATAACGCTGTCACATCCTTACATAAGTATACGCGATTTATAAAACTGAAAACATCACACACAACACTTTCCTTATGTATAAAATAATTATAGGTTTGCATGTATTTAACCAGAAGTGTCAACATCAATCTAAATGAGCTTGTAAGTACAATATAGCAATCTATTCTAAGTCTTTATTTGAGGATACTTTCCGAAAACCATTAAAAGAATTTGCTGTTAAAAAATATAAATATTGTTTATTTATAATGACTATCACTTAGGACTATACAACGGTGAAAATTAACAAGTGATTTGTAATTTTACTACTAATGGCGATCTTAGTTTACCTATAGTCTTGGTGGTTTGGTAAAGGGCCGATTAATGGGTCTGAAAGTAGTTGGTTCAATTTCGCGGTTATACGGCTGTGGGCTCTTGGTTATTCTTTTTGGAGAATTCCTATACTTTGCCTTGTATAGAACAGAGCGTGCCGGAACTCTTAATACTCTGTAGGCTTCTAACTTCGGCCTTATTATTATTATCTTCGTCTTTGGTATAAACGTATGAACGTGTGGAACCGCTTTCAACTCCAAGCTATGATGGTGATGCGGATTGTGATGATGATGGTGGTGTAGGCTTTCCGGTGGTGGCGCAATATATGTTAGAGGTACTGGAACCACTTCCACTGTTGTCTTAAATTTTTGTGGTTTTTTATCTGGTAGAGGGAATTGCTGAGGACTTGGTACTTGTTGAAATGATCCTTGTGGTATTTGTGGAGGAGGTTGGGGCGCAAGATATTCTCTAAACACATACGAATTCTCGTTTGTTGGTAGCGCTTGAACAAAGCTGTTGTCGATATTAGATGGCACAGGTGTAGTTACTTCTTGTTCTCTAGGAGTAGTTGTTTTGAACGTTTTCTGGCCAAACTGCGTAGTAGACTCCTTACTGGGTTTATCAGTAGGGAAGTTGGCTACTGGTTGTGGAATGAAGTTGAATCCAGGGGGAAATCCAAATGGATAGGGAGGCAAAAGGATGGTTGCAACTGGTGCAGCGGCAGCGGCATTTGCATTTGCAACGGCAATAGCTACGTTTGGATCAGTGGGCTGATTTTGAGGTGGGCTTGTCGGTGGTGCTGGTAACACTGTGCTCCTTGTTGCTTCCACTATGATTGGAGGGGGTGCGGACACTGGTATAATTTGAGGCGGTGCTGGAAGTACTGGCGCTACTGGAACTTGCCCCAGGACTGGAGCAGCTACCAGACGATTGAAAATCCTTTCGAAATACTGAGAACTTGCAGCTGTCACAATTGGAGCGACTCCAGCTTGAGCTTCATGGATTCCTGATCCATACGTTACACCGCACAAAACCGCAAGTACAGTTATCTGAAAAATATTATAAATATTATATGGTTCTATATACGTTAATAGTTATTCTTTTTTTAAATATTTTTTTTTTACCTTTATTAAAATCATGATTATTGCGATCCCTCGCGTGACCGCCTTTAGGTACGAAATGCGGTCGTCAGGAAATAGAACCCTGTCTTTTATATAGGTGTAACAAATTTTGCATTGTGGTGTGGCAATGTGGACGGCGTATCGGAATACCTAATGGTTCCATGGGTAAGGACATGAACCTTGATGGCTAAAAATTGTATGAAACTACGACGTAAGAATAATAATAACTAAACGTCCGCTGGGAAAGTACCTCCACATTGTATATTAATTAACTGCATACTTGTAAATAACATTAGAACTAACTTGTACAACCTCCCAAACATGAGTCTTAAACTTGGGAATGCATCTGAATAAGATATGATGATATGAGCTACGAGATTCTGAAATTTTACCGGTAAATTAAAAGCTTTTTTGTTATTTTTGTTAAACAACTGACGCCTGACGTTTAAAAGCATAAATGAATGAATGTTTATAACTACTCACATACTAGTGTTTAATGCAAGGTTTTTTTAAATACCAAAAAATCTTTTATGATATAATCACGTGTGTGATGGATACTGGTCTCGTGCGTTTCCCTTACAGATTTTACTTAGCAAATACGTGAAAACAATGTAAGTGACAGGTTTTGATAACAAAACTGTTCACGTGATATGGAATGTTTTGTCACTTGTTTAGTGATCTTTATGGATATAAATATATGAAGCTTTCTTTCTTTCTTTTCTTTAGTTTATCATAAATTCGTCTATTGTTTTTTTTTTATAACACACCCACATGGGGGTTATGGATATCTTTCTCTATTAAAACTTACCATGTACGAAAGACAACGATAAGGTACAACAGTAAGTTAAGTCTGTGCTTAAATACTAAAGTGCGTGTTATAATCCATAACTCTCATACTTCGACGGGACGGGAGTTCGATGAAACATCAGTAACGCGATAGCTTATTTAGGATCGGCTGCTTCAAAATATGCTCTTTGAAGGCTTATACATAATTAACTAAGAAGTTTTTTTACAAACGCAACGTGATTGACCCTTGACCAATGAGGCAGTAGTTGATTTCATGAAAAAAGGTGATGTGATGATGAACCGGAAATATTTGCTAGAAATGTTTAGCTGGAACAGAGTTCAAAGGACATGTTTACAGTCAACGTTGTGTCAACGATCATCTGTTAAGTTTCAGGAAAGAATTTAATTTCGCCGGGCAAATTTAGTTTCATTTATTGTATTCACACATTATTTTGTATAAATTAATTATTGAATCTGTATGATTCTGGATTTTTTTTCTTTAAGCCTGCATTAATTTAACAGACTTTCGTGTTGGTAATGGCTTGGCATGTTTTTATTTATTAGGTTTATTGTTAGTACTTAAATAAGGTTAAAATTTCTTTACATTCCATTTAACTTTATAGATGAATGATTAATATTACTTCGATAATTATGGTTTGTAGCTGTCAATATTTACGATGTAAATGATTTTTCGAATATTTTTATTATCCTATCACAGTTTGGAAGAAGCCTATACTTCTACTTGTGAATGGGGTGGGGTTACTACTAAAATTGACTCTATGAGTCAGACTCGCGTTCATATCTGTTACAAAATATTTATTTATTTGTACTCTCGTAAACCAAAGATAAATAAAGATCTTTTAAAATAACACATCATTACATATATGAGACTTACTACTTCGGTTTTACTTTCTGATTTACCTATAATATATGATCCTTTTTATATGATAAACTGATTTGTTTTTACACGCTTTATATTAGCTTCACCTGTATGTATGTATGTATGTAACCGACTCCTTCGGACTCGATTTTGACCCACTTTAAACGCACAGATTTAATTCAAACTTTGTACACTTATAAAGAATCAGCGACAATATTATAATTTCATAGGTTTATCTCGAAAAAACAATGATTAAATTGAGACAACTCGTATTGCTGCTAGGACTAAAAAGTGGAAAATAAATATAGTTTAAAAAACTATAAAACACGCTTTTAAAGCACATCAAACTAAAAAGTGAAAAATAATTCCTAATTTAGGCTGAAAACGGTAATGAACAAAAAATACTGGTATTATTGTGAAAAAGCGTGGGGCGCTCTGTGCCATATTTTTCGTCTATCGACTATATTTATTTTTTAACCTTAAATACTATACATATAAAGTACCTCCTTAATTATTTGCTTTATTATATTCGTAGGCGTTATACATATGTTAAACAAGTAATGATTATTGACTTTAGGCTACTTTTCAGGTTCTACTACTCGTAATATTTTGTTCCTATTTTTTGTATAAGGTGTTTTTTGTATTTTAGTGTTTTAAAAGAATGTAAGTTATTTTATACTTCTCGGTGCATAGATGAAACTTTAAAAAACCTTTATCCAAGTCTGAAGTAAAGATTTGAGGACATTTTATTAGGCAATATTTTAAACAACTTCAGTCCTACTAATAAAGTTAATAAAATTTATGCACATCGTATAAGCCTGTTATAAGAAAAATGTTACTAATAATTCCTGAATTGACAAGTCTGATGTATACGGCTGTTATAACAAGTGTTTTGTTTGTATGAAGACTTGTACAATGCTTATACAACGCAGAGGCCTAGTTTAATAAGACAAAAATGGCGTCATTTGATCTGATTTTTTTAAAGGTTCTTGTCAAGTCGATGCTGCTGATTTACACAGGGTTAGTCAGCAGTCAATCACAAATATAAGCCGAAGAGTAGCAGAAGCCGTCGCTAGGAGAAATCATCAATTTATAAAAATGCCTGCAACAATTCGTGAACAGGAAGAAGCTGAATTCACTGGATAACTATCACCTTGTTATAATGCATGTATAGTGATTTTTTATTAGTAAGACTGCTTTAGTATATTTAACGTAAGTATTAGTCTAAATCTGTTATAATATTTTAGCGTTATTTTTAGTATTCAGCCGAAATGACTCAAAATAATACGTAAAATAATAAAATAACCAATAATATTGAAGAAGTTTATTTATCGTTCCATCTTTGGTCGTTGGCAATTTAATAGGCATATACTGCGGGGGCGGCTAAATAGGGGGCAGATGCGTAAGGGGATGCTACATAGGGAGATGCCACATATGGGGCTGCTACGTAAGGTGAGCTTGCTACGACAGGGGCAGCTGGTGCTACATAGGCAGCTGGGGCAGCTACATACGCGGCAAGTCCATTGTTAATACGGTGGTAGTATTGCGAGCTGGTAGCCGTGACCACTGGCGCAGGGGCTGCTACGATTGGGGCACTGAGTAGAGCTGGTTTGGCGGCTGCGATGGCTACCAAAGCAGAGATGAGGACGATCTAAAAAAGAAGATTAATAATTATTATTTAATTATAAAGTGTATATTTTGGGAGAGTATTTAGACCACAAATTTTTGAAGGTTGACCATAAGGCTGATTGTCCGGTGTTTTTTATAATTAATCAATCTGAATGTACCACTTTCTTTGCAAATAAACTATTTATTATTATGACTTACTATGGAGCGAGATAGGCAGTTCAAAATAAATTAAAATCTTTAGGGTAAGATTAACACTTTAAGCAAAAAGGTTGACGATTAAAGAAAAAAATTATTGTAATAATATAAATACTCACAATTTTCATCATTTTGTTTTGTTAAGATTGCGATGACACTGCAAATACAGGTATGATGCCAATTGTTGGAATTATCTGAGTTTTTATAGTACTCGTTCGAGATGTTTTGCAACACAGTCCAAACGTCGCTGTCTGACATTGGGGATGCGTGCTCGGAATCAAACGCAGATTTCGACATACAAAGGATAAATCTTACTTTCCAATAGCTTGAAAATTCTCTGATTAATAGGTTTGGCTGTACTGCCAAAGAACTTTCTGCTTATTGAATTCCAGATATGTAAGATCGTTTAACGCTTTTTAGTATTTGTGTTATACTCCATATTTCGTTTAAAACAACGAAAATCTAACAATATTTAAATATTATTCATATTTTTTACCTTAGTATGGTATAAAAATAACATTTTCAAAATTTCGAAATTTAAATCGAAAATAGTCTAAAGGAATATTATGACCTGATTAAATATCATGTGCTTACTTATTTTGATATATTATATATACGCAATTTTAATCTTAAAAGTATATGTCTTTTATCATAACAAGTTCTAATTTTATAATAACAGGCCTGCTATTCCTTGGGCGGAGATGTCACTTTACAGATCTTAGGCATCCTGGTTTCCACGCTACGTCTTTCTTCGTACAAGTGTTAAATAAGCACATACACACACACACAGAATGTTCATTGATGTAAAGCCGGGGTTCGAACCTACGACTTCAGGGATAAGAGTCGTACGCTAAAGGAAATAGGCCAACATTAATAATTATATAGTTTCTTCTTCGCAAACTTCATTACTGAAGGTTGTGCTTATCTTGAAGAGCCCTAAGCGATACATCGACATGCTGCCTCCACACTACTCTATCCACAGCTTGTCTCCGTGCATTATTGATGTTGACATCCATAATTGTCTTTACCTGATCAGACCAAAGGGTAGGTGATCGACCCCGACTTCTCCTGCCATCGCTCCTCCCTACCATTACCAACTCGAGACTATTAATTCTCTCCTGGCAATATGGCCAAAGTAGCTAAGCACCCGTTTGTAAATGATAGTCGATAGTCTTGTGGTGGTTAATTTTTAATTAGTTAATTGAGAATGGACTCATTCGTTCTTTTTTCATTTCATGGTATTCGCACGTTCTCCTCCAACACCACATCTCGAACGCCTCTATCTCTTTTCGTTCCGATGCACGGCACAACCCGTACAAACATATTATGGAATATACCAAAGATTTGACGAGTCGGCTCTTAGTAGCATTCGATATGTTATTGTTTTGCCATACATAGTAATACAAAGTTCAAATTCAGGATAGTGTTATGAAAATTACGCAATTATACTTGTTCCAGGTTTTGACATATCTGTTTTAGACGTGTGATTGTCACAATTGTTTACAAAATAGACGCCCCAAAATAGTAATTTGAAGCATGTTTTTTTGTAAGATTGGCAACACACCCGCTATTCCCGGCAATGCAGGTGTCCATGGGCGGCGGTTATCAGTTTATTCATAGTTGATTTAAAAAAAAACAGCCTCCTCCTTTGCCTCATGTCCCATAAAAAATAGAGTGAACACACGTAAGAGACGAGATTCATACAAGTCATTATTATTGTAAGAATTAAAATGTAATAAATTTTACTTATACAATTATACATACTATATTTTTTTATTATATTTTTGTCTCAGTCGCAAAATTTTCCTTAAAGCAAATTTCCTAATTATTAAAAAGTATTGGGTGTCGGTTAACGGGATCAGAATTAGATGAAATTATTTTATAACGCTGCATAACTGATCTTTAACTAAGTGATACACATAGCAATTGACTATATAAAGCACAAGCTTATTAGCGATGTATATATATATATATATATATATATATATATATATATATAGCGACTAATAATCGAGTCATTTTGATTTCATAGATAAGTAGGTGATCAGCCTTTTTTACACAGGTCGTCGATTTGGTTTTGAGGCATGCCGGTTTCCTTACGATGTTTTCCTTCGCCGTACGAGCGAGTGTTAGATGCGAACTTAAAGAGTCAAGATCGAACCTGCGACCTTAGAGATGAGGGACCTTTTTTATTTGCTACGGATATAAACAAAATTACCGCAAATTCTTAGCTGTACTTACGTAGTATTTTTATATATTCACATTATTTAAATGATTATTTCATGGAATTTGTTTGTACTCTGGCTGAGTTCACAAGAGAGGCTAGACCTATTATTAGTTAGAAGATTTAAGTAGATTTTTATTGTTTGTATTATTGAGTAGTAAGCATTAGTTATAACTGTAGAGATAGAATAATTATGTGGAAATAAATATTGTATTGTAAAAGAAATGATGTAATGAAATGTATATTGCATTCGGGTTATTTTTTTATTACCGTCAAATAAATAGTAAATAAAAAAAATAGTAAATAGTTAAAAAATAAAATGATATTAAAAAATCATGGCTATTAATGATATTATGACTTTAAACATATATCAGATTCAACACTTACTATTTAGTCAATTAACGGGTCATTATGAAATGATTTAATATAATGGCAAAACATATCAAGAGAGCGCTTCTATTTACGCACCACGACATGTATGCAACAAAATATCATATCCTTATTTGACGTAAAATGTTCAATATCTATAGGATGACATTGACAAGAGAGTTCTCGAGAAGACGGCACTCGTGCAGCATCTTAGTAGTCCTTGAATATGTTCTGTACGTCTATTAACAATGGCTGTTTACCTTCCAAGGATGCAATGATGCATTATAAATTCTTGAACAGTTTTCCACGTGTTTTCTAGTTCTTTGATAAGTGTGGGTGTTGCTTTATTTCTCGCAACCTTCGAATTCCTATATTAGGTTTAGTGCTACAGATCACACAAACAAAGTGTCGTCGCTTTGATTGCGACAAAAAGTGTTCTTAGACGATATTCTGTGGTTTTTTTTATATATCAGGGGGCAATCGGCAGAAGGCTCACCTAATGTTATATGATACCGTTATTATACCATACGCGTTATATGTTGCCGGCCTATTAAGAAATGGTGCGCTCTTTTCTTGAAGGACCCTAAGTCGAATTGGTTCGTTAATACTTCAGTGGGCAGTGGTGCCCGGCAAAAACTGCCTTAAAAAACGCCGAGTTGCGGAACGACGGATGTCGAAATGATACGGGTGGAATTTCGCATTCTGCCTAAACTTCCGATGATGAAACTTAGCTGCATCCTATTATTATCCGAACAACTCCTCTGAACACTCTCCGAAGTAAATGCCATAGAACATGCATACATAGAAAGACCCCACATCTCTACGCAACGCTAAGGGATCATGCCGGAAAGTGACTGGTCGTCCACGATTCGAATCGCTCTACGTTGAATACGGTCAAGTGGAAGGAGCTACCCAAAGGTGATAAAAGTACTCAGTAGAGTTGCAAGCGGTGGCCCGGAGTGAAGTACCGTCTTGCCTTAGTGAGCACTTCAACACACCCAAGCTTCTTAGAGGCTAACTTAGCCTTTCTTTACAAATGACCGCGAAACTGAACGTCATTCGGTATATCAACGCCTAGTATTCCGATGCCAGCTGTGGCCTTAAGGAAAGTGTTTTTGTAGAGAGAATTAGCAAAAAAAATTGTATTATATTTATAGTAAATCATGTTATTTATCCTGTATTAATTAATTGTTATTGTTATCTGTAAGACTAAGCAAACGATTGATCTTGTTAAAAAAACATGTGTGTAAATTTAAAACGCTGAAATTTATTGAATATTGAATAAACTGTACTAAACTTATGTTAAAGTTCTAATGGAAGTAAACAGCATTCGCCTCAGGCGATTCTCATAATCTAACTAGCAAACTCGGCGAACTCCGTTTCGCCACCAGATGGCTTCGTTTTATGTAACATTTCGTTTGGTGATCCCGCTTTTCTGTTGAAATTTTTCCTGAATTGCTAATATATAATTCCTGCTTTTGCTATAAACCTCACGGAGCCCGAGACCTTTCTAACGAATGCAAAACCGTGGAAATCGGTTCGTGCGTTCTGGAGTTATAGCGTCAGGAAGGAAAACCCGACTTATTTTTATATAGTAGATGACGCACCAATGAAGTTTCAGTGTAGCTACGACGAAATTTAAGTTTTGTATGGTTTATCTTTCTTTTATATCAAAGTACGTATTAATCAACATATATATATGATTAATACGTACAAATTCCTTGCCTTGATGTATATTCACTGTGAGCAGTGTTGGCCTAGTGGCTTCAGCGTGCGACTCTCATCCCTGAGGTCGTACATTCTATCCCCGGCTGTGCACCAAAGGACTCTCTTTCTATGAGCGCATTTAACATTTGCTTGAATGGTGAAGGAAAACATCGTGAGGAAACCGGCTTGTCTTAGACCCAAAAAGTCAACAAGTTAGGCACAGAAGGCTGATCACCTACTTGCCTATTTTTTTTTTTTTTTGGTTACCAAACGATCATGAAACAGATACAGAAATCTGAGGCCTAGACCTAAAAGGTTGTAGCGCCATTGTTTTATTTGAAATCGATGAATTCATATTAGAATTATAAGATTTAACATCTTATATATATGATCTTCGTACACCTTGTAATACGTAATAAACTAATTACCACTTAATAAATTTATTATCTTAGTTATTATAATTTAATACTTTAAGTGCATTTTACAGAATCGTCTTAGTTTTGTGTATTACCTTAACACAAAGCAGCAAATACACGATTGGAATACAAAGTAATACGAAGTAATAAAGACACAATCATGTTGGATTTTTTTACTATTAATCAGTGCCGGGAATTTTTTTATTATTAGGAATTCCTTTTGGTGTGCAATGGCGTATTTAGTACGTTAGTCTTAAAGTATTTTTTACAATACATGTGATGCAATGTTGTGTCAAACTGTGACCGTAATATATCCATGATATACAGTTATCAAATTGTTTGTTCCCTCGATGGATGTGATCCAACATCCGGTATTAAGGCAAACGTTATGAACTATTATGTAGGTTTCGTAGAA